ATTATCCTTATGTAGTGATAAAATTGTGAGAATAAACTTTTTGTAGAACTCTTAACGGCATGCTTGCAGGAAAACACAAGAGATGGCCAAAATCACTTTATCATTTTCATGATGTCCGTGTTTGCCTATTGTTTGCCTTCTGGATTTCATTTCTAACAAAAATAAATATACACTGCTGACTAAAGTGTACTATATGTACTCAAGCTTTCAGGTCTTTGCATGTTCATTTTCCAACTATTCAGGCATTAAATAAAACAAACCATGAATCAAAAAATGGATATTAGCATTTGGAAAAAGGTTGGTGGTAGTTTGTTCACCTTATGATGAACATGGTGCATATTACAAACACGGTCTTCTAACACAGACTACATCTGACTTGAAATGGCAATACAGTATTGGATCTTAAATCTTGACTTCATCAAGGAGCAGACATTCATTTTGTTGTGCACCTCATTGTACAACAAATTTGTGGCATTTTCTAAATTGTTTGTTTATGTATACAATGACAGATGCCATTATAATCTTACGGTGAGCTGGGATGATCCCATGTGACTCCATAATAAAACAGACTGTTCAGTCGTATCTAAGAAGTTGGCCTGCAAGATGTAATTTAAATAAGCACCTTAAACAATGAGAGGACAAATCAAAGGCATTTGGCTAAGGTGGAGCCTGTAATGAGCTTTATAGTTTGTCTCTGAGAACATATCTGTCCTTTAATTTAGGCTGTGTATAGGAAGCTAGAAAAATTAAAGGTCAGTTTGCTTATGTGTATTTATACGAGCACATATGAGTTACAAAGCAAGGCCCCCTGTGTGTAACCAAACCAAAGCTCATCAAAGTTAAGTCTAAAGTCTAACCTGAATAGAGTTTTTTGTTCATGAAGGACTTGACATTCTTCCTGAGGAACCATCCATTACTGAACCACTGATTCTGCATGTGCTGTAGGTTTCTTTCTTGAGCAGGTTGGCACATGAGAGAAACTTCATCTGGGTGTATCTCACACCGTTGTGTTTGTTTTTTAAGGTTTTCAACTGTCAGCTGCAGGATCCTGCTATAACACACTGAGATCATCATCTTCTCCACCCCAAGGAAACTTAAACGGCTATACTCCAAACACACACACACAGACACACACAGACACACCCACACACACACACACACACACACACACACACACACACACACACACACACACACACACACACAGAATGTCACTACAATGGGAGAGTCATTTGGCAAGTGTATACCTGCTCTCTCTCCATCTGTAAATGGAAAAAAAAAAAACTAAACACAAGAATGTGTAAGAGCTCTTACAACAATGGTGACATTGACCAATGTTCCACTTGCCTGACCAGATTGATGTGTGTCCCTATTGGGCACAAAGTGATTTTCCAATAGAATTCACCCAAATTGTACCATATTACTTGATCACTCATAAAAAACAACAACAAATGATAACAGTCCATACAGTGATGATTAATTGAATTTTATCTTTCCAACAAAAAACGAAGAACTTTTGTGTAAGTCAAAATTCAACCTAATTTTCTACTGCTCTTTAAGTTTTGTCTTCTTCAGGTCACGACTCAATGATCCTCCATTCTACTTCCACTTCAGCTAGTAGCACTGCACTCAATGTGGGAAAAACAAATTCCTTCACCTAAGACTTCAAGAACTAATGAGACCTAGCCACAATGAAAAGTCAACTGTAACTGCAGCTATTAGCTTGTATTTGACCTTTGAGAGAGAAAGTTCTTGATCCTGTTGTTTTTTTTAACTTTATTTCTTTTATTCACTTTGTCATTTATTCTGCATTTAATAGATTAGGCTGCATTTTTGGTAAGTCTATGTATTACTTGGAATTCGTTTTTGCCTTTAGCTATGGGATTTGACAAATGTAGAGTGTTAACTGATTAGTAAAATTCACAGCTTAACATTTGTTGAAGTTGCACATATTTTCCACTTGTCGCTGCCAGTGACTTTCCCTCCCTCTCCAACCTTTGGAATCAGAAAGTTTCTGTACACTTTGGCTCTTCTCAGATGGTGTTTTTAAGCTGCTCTCCATTCGCTAGTTAACCATTCTCAGCCTAACTAACACAATAACAATTTGGAGATGCATTTATTCCCCCGTTCATACTTCACTGACTCCTATCAAAATCTAGCCATGGTTGTTTGCTTATAAACAATCTCAAAATCCTTGTCAAGGGTGCAATGATTTAGACAGAAATTGGTCTTATTTAAACAGAGATTTGTTATTTCAATCAAAGCCTCTTTGCTTGAATACATACATTTTAATCACTTTACCTTCTGTATAGTGATGTGAATGTTTTTATATTTGTTATTACAGCAGTGTGTAGTGATTGATTTGTTGTTATATTTTTTTGGAATGAAAACATATTTTTCTGTGCATTTAAATACTATTTAAATTTAATTTATTATTTATTCAATATAACTTTTTTTGTGATGTGTTTTGGGCTTTTTATGCCTTCATTTTGATAGGACAGCTGAAGATAGTCAGGAAAGGGGAGAGAGAGAGAGAGAGAGAGAAGGGGGGGCGACATGGAGCAAAGGGCCGCAGGTTGGAATCAAACACGGGCCGCTGCGGTCAGGACTCACCCAACAGCTCACGCTCTATCATCTATATCACTTGCCTACCCATAACACAAACCAATATCCATATTGCCTATTTATTATTTATTTTTCAATACATGTATTTTTATTATTATCATTTTTGTCTTCTCTCTCCTACACATCATACACATTAACACAAGTGCCATATTTAACCGATTTACCCTAAAACACTTGGTTATTACACTAATTTAAATAAGAGTAACGGCATGATGTTATAATAATAATAATAATAATATTAATAATAATAATGTCATCCTTGTGTGTTTTGTTTTTTATATGTTGAGTTATGTTCTGTGCATCACAGTTTTCCTCTGTCCTTGTACATTTTTTCCCCGTTTCTATCAATGTTGCATCATGTTTTGTTTTTGCATCAATAAAAAAGAAAAGGGAAAAGATAATCATTAATTAATAAATAAAGTAAAAGCAGGTGAGAAACTTCTCCTCATTCATTCGTCCATCTGCTCTGATAATCTGAGCAGTTTGAAGCTGTTACTAATTCATCATGTGTGGGGCTGCAGAGACCTCTCACAGATGCATGAGTCAGACATCCCTGGGTTTCCACATGGTCATTATCCTGTCCAGAGCCCTGCTGACAAATGTAAATGGCTTGTGCAGACTGTAACAAAAAAAATAACCCTTGTGATACTGTAATGGCAACTTTTATTTATTCAGACTTAAGCTGATACATAAGATATATGACATGGCATAATTCTGTATGCTTTTTGCTTTAATGCCATTAAATGATTGTTTACATTTAACAGTTAATCATTTTGAAGTAGTTATTACATGTGAATTATTTGACAGCTGATGAACCGAGTCTGTCAGACCTACTTTGTAAGAAATTATGGTCTGGTGTGGGTGTGTTTGCCTTCCTTGATATAGCTGGGGAGTGAATACAAATAAAGGAAACACCTGGAAAAATACGGAACACAAAGTGTAAGAGCTGACGGGGAGCAGTTTCCTGTAATGTCTGCTCAATGCCGTAGGAGATAAGTTAAATACCAGTTCACACAAAGGGATTCTACGCTATAATTTTATTCTCATAAAGCACGTAATTGGTTAGTGTTAGTGTTAGTGTTTAAACATCCTGTTCAGAAATGTCATGATCGCAATAATGAATCCTTCAATTAGCTCAAGTAAAAGTCATAAATGTTATCATGAACAATATTTTGTTGTTGTCTTGGTTACAACATCTTTACCCGCTTTAGCTCTGTGCTGTATGGGAGATCTGGGTACATCGCCTGACACAGTGTTTCCTCCATCAACAGACCACTGGATCATGGAATAAAATAATGGTCATGGAGTTTCATCCTCCTCCAGCTGACGCGCGTCAACAAGTGCAGCTTGGTCAGCGGCCCTACGCTTCAACAAGTGACGCTGTCGGTACCCTTGTAGCGTCACTTTTTAACGATATGAGACAGTGGCACTGTCAAGTTAGCCACAACACATTTACCCACGTCCGGGTGGACTGACTTAGGAAAATAAATAAGCAACGTCCGGTTACACTTTCAAAATAAAGCTAGAAGAGAAACGGCATGAGGCAAGAGGTATTGATTAGTATAAGTACAGGGCTTTATTGCTGGTCAACCCGTGAGAAGTGGGTTAAAGAAATAAAAAACAAATTAACAAAAATAATGCTGTATGCATGTCTCATACATCTTGTGCTATAACCAAGCATACAGTATATACAGCTAGACACTTTACAGTTTGATTGAATAAACCGAAAATGACACATGCAAACACAATAATCAATTACACCTTCACAGCAGATAAACAGCCAACAAACCTCATTATATATCACAAAGAGTACATAAGTTAACTTATGTTATTATGACAACCACAGTGGAATCGGCATTCTCTTTAGCGGGCAAGTTTTCAAAGTTTCGTTCAGGCTAAAAGGCGCTCGGGTGAAACACATCGGGCGGAACAAATAATTAATTACGAAATAATTAATTCCGTCTAGCTGTACAGCAGCTACAGAAATGCTTATTGGTGAAGCACTGCACACACCAGACGGCCACATGGACACCTAGCCCACCTTTTGTGGGGATATAAAATTTGGTTTCCACCAACCAAATTGCACCAGACTAAACAGAAAATACTTTATAGTTTTGTGGCGGGGGTCACTGTGTGCCTGCGAAGAGAGATCTTTTCTCTCTACAGGTATATCAAGTGCACAATAGCGAGACGTCAGAAAAGGGCAGACAATAGGACCCAGTAGAGATTGTGTGGACATTGTTTTTTTCCTGCTGAGGAAAGTGGACGATTGTTTTACCTCCAGAGTGTCGGAAATCCGTGAAAAAGCAAAGAAACCAGTGAACTCAAGAACAGAGATAAACGGTATTATGATAACTGACTAACATTGTGATTTACTGATTAACTGTTTAAACTGTTGAAATTATAACTTTTCATTGTTCCAGCTTCTCAGATATGAGGATTTACTGATTTTGTTTATCTTAATTACAGTAAACTGAATCATTTTGGGCTCTGGGTAATTGTAATGGACATTTCTCAAAGTTTCTGACATTTTACAAACCAAAAGATTGATAGACTGATGAAAGAAACAATCAGCAGATTCATCCATAATAAAGTCATTGGGAAAAGTTGCCTATATAAAATAATTATAAATGAGGTCAACCACCTACAGCAGTAAAATGCTGCTTAAACATTTATTCATCAGTATTGATGATGTATAACTGTATAATGGGGCCATTTTTCCACATTAAGTACTTTAAGTACATTTCCCAATAATACACACTTACTTACATTAAGTAATATTTTATGTCAAGTACTTTTATTTTGTTTATTTCCCTGACCTTTGTTCTTTGCACTGTCCATGCTGCTGTAACAAAACGAATTTCCCCGCTGTGGGATAATAAAGGATTATCTTATCTTATTTTCAATGCAGGAATTTTACCTGTAATGTAGTATTTTTACAGCAAGGTATTAGTACTTTTACTCAAGTCAAGAATCTGACCTTCTCCACCACTGATATGAGAGTACATTCCTCAGGTCAACTGAGTTCAGTTCTGAGACCTGCAGCCTACATTCATAGCAGTTATATTTGGCACAAATTGCAGTAGACAAACCTCTAGGTCAAAAATCTGAAAATAACTGCATGTCGTGCTTAAAGCATGATAGCTTATACATGTACTATATCTGGGAAACCCTTTCATAATTTTTGCAGATATTTATTTACACTTTCACCATTATATGCGTGAAACTCATGTGGGTTAACATTACGCAACCCAGTCTAATGATCTTATGAAAGAGGTCAGAGGTTCTTCTGATGTAAGCATTGTTCTTGCGTGACAGGGAGAAACACATTCACAAAACTACGCTGCACAGAAATTTTAAAACATTAACTAAATGAATACAACGATGATGACATGACGAAGAAGAAAGCATCACTTTGTTTATTATCTGCAGAACGTTCATGGCAGCACCATAGCTTTGTGTGACACGTGTCACATGTAACTCATTTACCTGTTAAAGGACCGGTCATCTCTGTGACTGGAGTTTGAACTCAAATATGTAAGGAATCTTTTAGATGGACTGTCAGTCTGCGAGCACATAGGGTTACTGCTGCCACTCCTGAGCACAGGTAAGTACATTTCAGGAACATAAACAATGTTGTGGCTTATTATCATACTATACTTTCTTATCAGTGCTTGAAATTTTCCTACTGGTTACATCACAAAATAGATTGTTTTACCAGCAGGAACTGTTTCATTACAGATCGTACCTGATCTTCCAGATGATATGTTGAAACTGAAGATGTCTCTTATGTTACATTTTCTCTGTCTTGCATCTTAGGAACCATGCCATTGCAAAGTGTGTGTGGAATATTTTTATTCCTCAGCGTATGTCTGATTTCCTTCACACCACCTTGTGATGGAGGAAACATTCTGGTGTTCCCAGTAGACGGCAGCCACTGGATCAATATGAAGATCCTGCTGGAAGAACTTCATGCCAGGGGACACAGCATGACTGTGATAAGGGCCTCCACCAGCTGGTACATCCCAGAAAAGTCTCCTCTCTACAAATCCATTACCCTCGAAATGGATGAAGGTTTAGAGAACTTTTTTGATATTTACCTGCAGGAACACATGAGGGTATGACATTTTGCATTATATTGGGCCCTGTGTGGGTCATTTAGTCATTCATGTATCAACTTTTTCACCACTTTTTTTTCTAATAATTCTTTTCAGGCGCAGAGAGAGGGGGCTTCAGCACTTACTTTCTTCAAACTCACCAAGGATTTCCTTTCTATGATTTCTGAGGCCCATTTATTGTGGTCTGAGGCCCTTGTTCAAATCTTTGATGATGAAAGAATGATCCAAAGCTTAAAGGATTCCCAGTATGATCTTGTTCTCACTGACCCAGCCATAGCACCAGGGGTTTTACTAGCCAAGTATCTCAAACTGCCCATGGTGCTCAATGTTCGCTGGATCACCAGCGGAGAAGGTCACTTTGCGATAGCCCCCTCACCACTCTCTTACATCCCAGTGCCAGGATCGGGCTTAACAGATAAAATGAATTTCATCCAGAGGGTCAAGAACCTGCTTTTCTACAGCATTATACTGTTCCAGCAGAAATTCATGGTGGGACCATGCTATGATACTATCTGTAATAAATATATAGAGGGTGGATGTGACATCATCTCGCTTCTTCAGGAAGCAGACATTTGGCTGTTCAGGTCAGATTTTGTATTTGAATTCCCTCGGCCCACAATGCCAAATGTCATCTACATAGGAGGGTTCCAGTGCAAACCAGCCCAACCCCTGCCAGCGGACCTGGAAGAGTTTGTTCAGAGTGCTGGGGAGCACGGAGTGATCATAATGACTCTGGGAACATTGGTTAACGCTTTGCCCAAAGAGGTTGCAGATGAAATCGCCAGCGTCTTTGCCAAGATGCCTCAGAAGGTAACACATGCTCAGTGATTCCCTTATTCAGTCACATGAAATGTTAAAAAGATTAAAATGTGCACTTCCAAATGCAACTTGTTTGACCTAGAGAGTCTTACAGATATTCATGCAGCAATGATCCCATAACTAAATACATGAAATTAAAATTTTGAAATAGAAATTGCTGAAATACTAAGTGAACAAATCAGTCCTCCAAGGCATACATCTAATTAAAAAAATGGATTCATAGCTCTGTGATACACTTAAAGCCTGACCGGGGAGTTGTAATGAGTGGGTATAATAATGGATGGATTCATTCATAAAGGAATTAAACATTAATGTTACAAATGGTGGACTGGACTTGTACTTTTCAAGGTTCTTTTGTTTAATTTGTTATGTAAAGCGTCTTTGAGTATCTTGGAAAGTGCTCTTAAATGTATAATTATTACATAATTGCTGTGTGGTAAGTGGAGTGCTGGCTGCAGCAATGGTAATACTATTATCTGTTGGTGTGCAGATATACAGATAATTCATAATGATTCTTTTAATTTTCTGTTCAGGTGATATGGAGGCACAAAGGGGAACGTCCCTCTACTTTGGGCAACAACACCCTGATAGTGGACTGGATGCCACAGAAGGACCTTCTGGGCCACCCACAGACCAAAGTCTTTGTAGCTCATGGAGGAACCAACGGAGTCCAGGAGGCGATCTACCATGGGATTCCTGTGCTTGGCATTCCCTTGTTCTTTGACCAGTATGACAACCTTCTCCGTCTGCAGGAGAGAGGAGCTGGGAAGATCATTCAGCTAGGTGACGTTAGCGGTCGCAGTTTCGAGCAAGGACTCAGCGAAGTGCTCCATCAAGACAGCTACACACAGAACATGCAAAGACTGTCACGTTTACACAGAGATCAGCCAATGACACCCATGGATCAGGCCGTTTTCTGGGTGGAATATGTGATGCGCCATAAAGGGGCTCCTCATCTGCGCACAGAGGCTTATAAGATGCCCTGGTACTCATACTACTGTTTAGATGTCTTACTGCTATTGCTGACTGCAACGACTGTACTACTTCTCTCTACTTTGGCCATTTTCAGGTTCCTATGCTGCAGAAGTAGAAGAAAGATCAAAACCAAACAACACTGATTAAAGTCAACTTTGTTTAGAAATATGCTTCAATTAGTTCTTTAAAGCATTGAATTTAGACAAAAATGTAAAGTATCTTATCATCTCTTTATAATTAATGAAGTAAAATGACAATTAGTCAGTTGAAATAGCCATATGAAATATAAATATAGTGAAATAATGCAGCCCTTTTTCTGTTTTAAAATTAATGTTTCTATATGATTCTGTAATTTCACATCCACTGTTTTAATAGAGCCACTGACTCACTGCCCAGACACTGATCAATTTCCAGTGTAACAAAACCCTGAACACTTTTTATCTTGAAGATTTATACACGAAAACAAATTCATATGTGACTAGAAAGTCCAGAAAATCAACATACTGTATGTCCCCCCCTTCATTTAATTATTGATTAAAGCAAAGATCAATATATAAGGAATTGCTTTTGTTTATTATTACTCCTGCAATAGTGGATATTCTGCATTGAAAACTACAATAACTCACTCTAAGAACACAATACTGTAATTTTGGTCTTGCAGACTGTAACTTTATCTTCATTTCACAGATGTCTTGGCCTCACATGACATGCCCACATTCCAGCCGAAGCCCTAAATCCTAAAACACATGCCCCACACTATATGCCAGACATCACAGCTGGCATGTTTTGGGAAGGCTATGAGGCCACATTTCCACTGGGCCAGAAATACAACAATTCTGTAGCTCATTATTTAGTCAGGAAGATTTGATTATGATAAGAAACTAGAAAGAAACCTTCTGTTACTGTACATGTAATAAAAGACAACACAGTGTTTTCTTTGAGATGCCTGTGGTATATGACTGTGTGAGAAACAGCAAAGATAATCTCAAAATCAAGAACACATGTATCGCTACCAGCACGCCACAGGCAATCCAGTTTTATGGAAAACCTGGAGATCGATTATGTCCTCCTTATTATTCTTTATATTTATATCAATCCATATAAATTACATCATCTTCTAAACTAAAATTAATGCCAGCAAGAAGACAAACCTAAAAAATGACTATGGAAAATGCTATAATTTCAGAATATAGACCGTATTAAAACCATTTCCCTTTCCCAAACAGTCCAAAAACAGATGCTTTGAAACAATCAGTGGCTGGAAAGGAAAACTCTCTTTGATAAAGCATAAGCTCATATGGTTTTGAGTTGTAAGATGAGTGAGGTTGTCTTGGTAAATCCTACTACAAGCTAAATTACATTTCACTAATCATTCTGCAATGCACTGCTTGAAACTCCTCCGTTTGCTGATGAGGAAAGCAAATCTGTGAAAATATTCGAAGGTACGAAGGCAGTGAGGTGATTTATAAGGCTTGGAACCACATTAAGTATAACTTTCAAAAGAAACACACATGATGAAATAGAGAAGAATTGTGTGTGTGTATGGGTGTGTGTGTAGGTGTAGTGGCATGTGTTGATTTTAATGTCTTGTAATCCGGAAAAGTTTGTTGTGAATCAAATAAATGTGGGAAAGTCAAATTTTAAAGTTATGTTTACAGTAGTAAATAAAGAAATACAATACATCACGATCATACACTGCCTTGTAGGAGTGTCTACCTGTTTCTGGCAGTTATGAATAATTCATTCACAATTTTCAGGGTCAATGATTTGATACAAATACACATACATTTGTAACAATCCAGTACTCATTGATTTGTCTCAGTTTGGCTTTTGATTTAAACTTGACTGGAAATACTAATAGACCTTATCATCTTTATCGTTTTTTCACAATATTTCACTATATTGTGTATTTTCTTATAAATGAAATTTATTTTTTATTAGGTAGTTAGTTATTAAGGAGCAGCTGTGCTTTGTTAACATAGTTGCTCGCTGCAACATGTCCATTCTTTAGTGGGCTACTAGTTTATTTCATAACACCATTGTGTGTTATGCTTATTGCAGCTGGATACACTTTTATATTAAGCCATATTTTGTTTGTTTGGGACACTGGTCATACAGATAGACAGTAGTAAGGTAAGCTACAGGAGCGGTTTTAACTTATCACCATTGTAGTCCATTGCAACCAACATGAATTCAACATCACCACAGCTTGGTGAATCTGAAGTGGCCATAGACCTGACACAATGCTTTAAAAAAGGATGAAAGAATTACAATTAAAACTGAATAAATGGAAGAACTGATGCAATTGTTTCTTGAGTGTAAATCACAATTTAATGATGTGGTGAAACAAGCCAAACCAATAAATGTAAATCAGTCTGTTTTATTTAAACAAATACAAACTCATCTGAGTTGCTCCCACAACATACTCAAGTAAATATTAACAGGCTTGTTTTGTATCTACAGTATGTTGAAATGCAATCGTTGAATGCCTGTTTTCCTTTTTCCAATTAACTCACGTACCTCCATTGTGTTGTAAAAGATGGCAGATGAACTGAATTGTATTGTTTCAGAATAAATGTACCCTCAAGGTCAAGAACAAAGCTGAAAGTCAACATTTACTGCAACCCTATTTCCTGTATGAAAATCCATTTAATTCTACGTTGCACAACTTTTACGTTCAGCTCCCCACATTATTTTTTCCCCAAGGAATGCCTCAAGTAGTCCAGACATAGGGTCAGACACCCTAACATCTGCTGAACAGCCAACATGCATATAAAAAACAGGTGCTGTACTTGTCTAGTCACTGGTATCACTGGACAGTGAACACACAGCCTTCCTCCCTTTGTGTCCACATAACCGTCCCTGAGTCTGTTTTCAACTCTAGCTCTTCTCCCTCCCGCTCTGATTTTACACCCCCTTTTTCCTTGGTTGGTATTGGATGATGTCACTGTGCATGTTCTGTGTTAAAGACCAGTCAAGGCTGGGCTATGAATACAGGGAAAGCAGATCCCTGCATATGATTGAATGCAACATTTTGAGTATGGGTTTACCTTCACCCATGACTAGATTCTACATGGTAAAAAACTAAAAACTAGACGCCTGCCAAATAATAAAGAAATTGCAAAAACAATACAACAACATTTTTTTTTTACAAAGGAAGCATACTGCATCTTTTGAAATCCACTGCCTGCTGTGCAGATGTATATCCTGAAACTGGAAACCAAGAATTACAGCTGATATCTGACCCGGCTAGAGAGCCTTCATTTTCCAGATTTTCAAGCAGAGAAACACACCAAGCCCAAACTGACACGCTTATTTACTGACCTCACTCTGATGAGCTGTACTGAAAATAAGTTTTTACTCGGTAAGGGGGCTCATTATTTGACTTGACAGCCTTCGTTACTACAAGACAGCATAGATGGAGAAGAGAGAAAATCTTTTTAAATGAACTGATACGTGAACAATTTAGTGCTGAAATATGGCACAAAAAATGTTAATTCAACAAAGCTATATTGCTCCATACCTCTGTTCTTCAAGGAACAAGCATGCACTTACAGTTTCATGTACTCCTTTCTTGTCACTCAACACACTACACACACACACACACACACACACACACACACACACACACACACACACACACACACACACACAAACCCACACAGAAATTCAGCCTCTTTGCTTGTGCTCCCAAAGGGCATCTACAAGGCGTGACATCATTCTCTCCACAGACACACAGATCACATTAATTGCTGTCTCTGTGGAGGAACTACTGGCCAGAAGCAAACTGATCCACTGAATCTGCACAACAAATCCTATTCTGCTTTGGTTGGGGATTGCACGTGTTGCTGTCTGTTGAGTCTTGGAACTCACAGTCATACTTCAGCAATGTGAAATTCGTCCAGACAGACCACACCATCCATTTTCCTAAAATCTGTTGGATCATTTGACTATACACTGTGTTCCAAATTATTATGCAAATACGATTTCAATTAAACAAACATTTGATTTTTTTTTTTTTGCATAAAGCTGTATTTCGGCCACCCTTAAACAATGCCCGCAAGGAGAAACGATTGCAGTGGGCTCAGAAATACATGAAAACTAATTTTCAAACAGGTTTATTCACTGATGAATGCCGCGCTACAATGAATGGTCCAGATGGAAGGAGGCCACCATGTCCCAACAAGGCTGCGACGTCAGCAAGGAGGTGGTGGAGTGATGTTTTGGGCTGGAACCATCGGAAGTGAGTTGGTAGGCCCCTTTCAGGTGCTTGAAGGTGTCAAAATGACCTATGCAAAATATGTGGAGTTCCTAACTTCCTAATTTCCTGCCATGGTATAAAAAGCAGAACCGTGCCTTCCGGGGTAAAATAATTTTCATGCAAGACAACGCACCATCCCATGCTGCAAAAAATACCATTGAGGCCTTGGCTGCTATGGGCATTAGGGGAGAAAAAATCATGGTGTGGCCACCATCATCCCCTGACCTCAACCCTATTAAGAACCTGTGGAACATCCTTAAAAGGAAGCTCTATGAGGGTGGGTGGCAGTTTACCTCAAAACAGCAGCTCTGGGAGGCAATTCTGGCATCCTCAAAGGAAATACAGGCACAAACTCTACATGGACTTGCAAGTTCAATGGATGAGAGTGTTGTTAAGGTGATATCAAAGAAGGGCTCCTATGTTAATACGTAACTTGATCTGTAAAGATGTTTTTGATTGGAATAGCTTTGATTTGAGAAGAATTACCCCCTAATGCTAAAATTCACAACAGATTTCTGTTTTCAAGCATTTTGAAACTATTGAGTGTTTTGAAACTCTGTTTCGCATAATAATTTGGAACACTGCATTTTGAGTTATTTTACAAAAAATGCCATTTTCATTATTGGTAATTTTGTTTAATAAAATCCGGATTACGATATAACTGTTGAGGAATAAAAAATCCTAGTAAAAAAAAGAACAAAAACAGTATATTCATAATAATTTGGAACACAGTGTAAACATGGTGGCACATGCACCTGAGTTTCTGACTCTGTCTTCATCTATTAGGGGTTCCTGTTTGCAGTTTATGAATACATTTTCACTGGATTACTTAGATACGGGAGAAAATCAAAAACATGAGGATTCAGGCCAGTTCTGGAGTGGATTTTTCATGATTTCTAAATGGATTTATGGAATATTTATCGCAAGAGATAAACAATGTAACAACTGTCATATCACTGCGAACATCATCAGAATGTATTTTGAGACTATTGTTGTGGTAGATGTTGGGCCATTTTGAAATATGTAAACACACTTTGTGAAAGCAGTTTGTGTTTGGAGTTATTGCCTGAACTGCGTCATGGAACTTACACTGGTACATACTCTGGTCTGAAAAGGCATCAGCAACACTAATGCTAACATTTGACTTGGATATGGATGTTAACATGTGGTCTGAATATGGTGATTAAAACTATCTACAGCCAGTGTTTGGTTTGTCGGTTCTGGGCTGTTGATAGGGCAGTTAAAACATGTCTGACTCCATTGAGGGTGTTCCGAAGCATGAAAATGATTATAAGTTATTATTCTTATAATTAAATCCCTATAGCTTCTGTCTTGTTCCTCTCACTTGACTTGCATTTCCGTTTACTTATCTATGATGTAGCAACCCTACTTGATTAAAAGAAATATACAAAATATATAAATAAAGCATATCAAACACTGTGGTTTCCTACTGTGCATCTTTCTTTATACCTAATCATCTGTAACACACAAAATCCAAACATGCTGTCTGAGATCAGTGGAAATGGAGAGGTTCAGAAACGCTTCTCTGTCACAGTACATCAATCATGAAGTGAATCCTGGATGGCACTTAGCAATGGTCTCTGCAGAGGCTACTCTCAACCTCCATAAAAATCAGATCCATAACTATGGTCATCTGGTTTTCATATAGCGTTGGAGGATAGACAACAGAGCTGTCAGGCACTGAGCTTGGAGAGAAAGAGTGGACTAAGCCTTTGGGTCAAACCCTGGGAAGAAACACATTGCAGTTTCAGTTTGTCCAAAATGTCTGTCATAGGGGAAAGGAGTAGTAGTACATAAATACATACTGTATGTCACAAGGTCACAGTGGGTCACTACAAATAATGATAATATTATTATATCGACGTATCAAGCACTGTTCAAATGCATTTTTTTTTACACTTTGTATGATCAATAAAGGGGAGACAAAGGATACACATTAAAAATAGAACAGAAACCTTATAAAGATCATAGACAGAAATATGGAAAAGTTGAACAGTCAAATACTTTACTTTTACTAATGAGCACAAGTTGAAGTCAGAACAGCATCACATCACATAATGTATAGTTGTATCTGAGTATCTCCACAGTTGGTCATTTTTATTAAAAAAAACTTTATTCTCAAATGGTCTCTGATTCGGAAATTGACCTTTGCCTTTTTAAATAAAATACGAACTTCAATCAATTGTTTTTAAATCTCAATTTTGCACATGTGACAAACATAATGTGGATTTTTCATATCAGATGTTTAAAAAAATTTTTTCATTGGATGGTGGACTTAAATTAAGTGTTTAACTACAGTATAATGACAGAGGAAAACATACATTCTGTGTCACATGGATCAGCCATAATTGATGATGATAATTTAATGTTCAGTTATAAGGACGTATTCCCACAGACTGACAGGTAAATGGTTATTATCCTCACTAAGATTCACCGATCATTTTACAGTGCTGATTTCCATTCCTTTTATGTTTAGTTCTTGTACTCTAACTTTATTATGAAATAAATCTGTGGGGGACTGTGAGTTCATACTTGGCCACCTTTTCTGGAACAACATAACATCTAAATCATATTCATGATTCTGGATCGAATGTGACTTTGTGAGATTCATCCAATAGTTTTACTTTTTCAATTGCTCGTTACAGAGAGAAACAATAGGGCCATTCTGTCAACCCCACAGTATATTCATGGAGGAGCATTGATTTCAACACTTAGTCTCCTGAAGGGAAATTGGGACAGTGCTTTTTTGATGCTGATATTACTCAAAACATGTTGTTTCTGTTTCAGCAAACTCCATTCCACTTTAGATGTGTCACTCAGTTGCACCAAAGCTTGTCAAGTTTAACGTTTGACACCTGGTCCTTGGTGGACTGACAACCAGGTGTTTTTTCTGAACACATGAAATGGCAAGACACTGTAGCTCCACTCTTTGACATTAAAAATTTTACAATAACAAGAGAAATGAGCAAGCAATCGCACTTTCCAGGAAATCAACAGAGACTCCAGGAAGTTATTGTACAGCACATCACACACCAAAACAACAAAACTTCTTTTGATTTTAACATTTTGTTTTTTGTAAAAATTAAACAAATGAGAAATAATTTGGTAATAAGGTGGATTTAGTTACTATTGGACTGAGCCAAGTCAGTACTACTGATACTACTGACTGAGTCAGTAGTATCAATCTTCTCATCTAACAGAAAGTGTAGGTCTGAAAATGTTGAACTATTCCTTTAATGAGCAAACTTAATGCCTGTCATGGCTCAGGTAACACAGGACTGTGATGCATTTGAATCATGGCTTTGTTGAGTCTAACAATATGGCTTCAGTGGCTTCAGTGGTTTCAAATAATCAACCTGGCATTGCAGGTGAGTTGTGAGTTTACAGTGTACATTTTTTATGAACCTTTTAAATGGTTAAAATACCACATTCAATACATTTTCACTTTACCCTTTTGTGTTGGAGAAATGTACATGCACATAATGTGTTTCATACATAACTTTGAGAGACATGTATTTAATTCCTCATACTGTGAATGCTATATGTAAGCTACAGTCTATAATGTATCAAATGCAAGTAATTTTTAGATTCTCCATTCTTCTGTGGATATGATCATTTTCTACCGCTTCTATGCTAAATCTAACCTTGCATAGTCACATGTGGCTCATGCCAAGAGGTCTGGAGAAGTTCTAAATCTAATGTCTCAGGTTGTGGTGCACATTTGTTTTAGTGTTAGTCAGTTAGCTGGCTGACAAAATAAAAGTGCCAGCCAATGCAACAAGTTGCTTGAAGTGTGACAAACGTATAAAGTCTGTAAAATCTCAGGTATAGATGGTTGTTTACTATCCGCATTCACAATCTGACATAGCAAAGCTGAGTACAGACAAGGAAGAGCAAACCTTTTGCCTTCTGTTTTGAGAAATACTGGTGTGATCTACAATTGTATTTGATAAAGAAGTGAAACAATTCCTGACATTTGTTGGAAGATTCTGTGATGGATTTGATTAATGGATTAATCATCTGTGTAATTATCTGATCATGTTAGGTCATGATTATGATCTCATGATCTGAAGTTGGATCTAAAAGAAATGAGGCACAGTAGTATCCTTTCATAACTTCCAAATAGTTGGATGTGTGCTCTTAATGTACAACATACAATTGTGTCATTGTGAAACCTGATTATCCATATAAATCCAACCAGTTGTCCAGGGGGTTCATCACGCTTATACCACTATGCTGCATGAACACACCTGGTAAGCTAACAAACTATCATGACCATTTTTCGTCACCTTGTTATCAGCACACTGTGACGTTAAGCCTGCAGTCCTTGTGCAAAGTTTAACTCCCCTCCGCTGCTGTCAACTCCCCTGTGCTGCTGCTGCTGCCCTGGACGAGGTGCCATGGATCATTTTAATGATGTTGCAACAAAGCTTCAACAGAGAGTGAACCAGTTCAAAATGTTTAGCTCATGGTCCCATGTTCGTTTTCTTCTCAGAAGGAAAACATGATATACTGCAGGAAAATCTCAGTCCAATAGATGCACACTTGTTTAATATTACTAGTACATGTGTTTCAGAGAAAAAAGTGCATTGTGTAACTATTATGTAATTCCTCAGTTCTGGCAGGTTTTTGTATATAATTCCACCAAGCAGATGACATTTTGACCACTTTTGTCAGATAAAGTTCATAAGATTCATATGGCAGATATGCGTGGCAGTCCGAAGCTAGTGAGAGATTTACAAGTGTAATACTCAAAAGAAAGAACATGCTGTACTTCCACACCTTTATGTTGTAAATACATGGTAATATTCTTGAAGGTGTGTAGAGAGAATCACCGGATTAAATAGTTGCCCAAAAAAAAACTATTTGTGTGTATCTGCAAAACTCATAACATAGTGTGGCCTACAGTGTGTTGCGTGTTTATTAGTATGTAGTCAGAAAAACATGTAAATGGTGGCTTTTACCCTAGAATGCTACACAAATGTGAAAATTATTTTGTAAAGCTATGGAGATGACTTACAAAAAATTCTGAAACCACAAAATCAAATCAGAAGAAACTAAACTGTTAAACAGAGTCCAAAGAAATTGTGGACTCAATATAAAGTATTTTGTTATGTTATGTATTAAGCTTTGTTTTAAGATTCATATGGAAATAAAATATACAAACATGTCGGTGATGGTGGGACTTTGAAGCTTTAAGCGCATCTGCTTTTGTCCTGGTAAATTACATAACATAATGCAGATTTTAGATTAACTAATTACTTACTGTTAGATCCTGATGTTTTCAATATAAAATCTTCTCTTTTTATTATTGTACTATTGTCTGTTATTTTCAAAGACTCTGTTTTAAGTTTTAAGTATTTTTTATTTAAATGCAGAAATCTAGCAATAGTACTGTGTAATGAAGATTAGCTATGTTTGAACATGGAAAACAAATGAAAAGAAATTAGTGCTTTGTCACCATGCACAATTTATTTACACATTTATTTGCCACTTTTTTGGTTTTAGGTAAAAGCAAATATGATTGTGAAGCCTGGTTGCTCAAGGACATATACAAGTCAAGGTCACATTCAACAGCATGAAACATTTTGGTTTAGTCATGACTCTCATGGAAACTGTAAGTAATGAATAAAAACAGTATAAAAATTCACTGTATTTTTTAATTACCATGTGATAATTTACAGAGGTACATTACAGCATCTAATGGTCGCAAAACACAGTTTGACACTGTTTCATTTGTCGTATTCATTAAAATGCATCCATCATTCAGAATGCGAGCACCATAAAAAGCATACAAAAATCTTCCCAAGCCATCAGTATACAAAGTGACATGATTTTTAAAAAAGCAAACCTTTAAAAAAAAAATCTCTCAGTGGTAGAATATATTTCACCTCACCTTACACACCACCTACCCCACGGCAAAAGTCCATATTTCCCTTTCACACTTACAATAATTACATGAAGGGTATTCTAATGTCATTGCATTACTATAACACATTATGCTTATCACACACTGTATGGTGTACAGGTGGTGTAGTAAACAATTATTCTTATTTGGGGTTTGAATAAAGAAACAGCTCGATTGATCTGATCTCTCCCTATTAGTCCACAGTTTTTCAGTCCTCCAGTGCTCAACCAGGAGCACTGGAGATGCATTCAGTCTTTGCGGTGAGCCCAAAGGTGTTTTCTCCCTGCTGGATTCACTCCCTTGGCTTGTGGTGACGCCTGACCAGCCTTGTTCTCCTCCTCATTCCAGCTGTAAAACAGGAGACAGACTTAATGGAGGGAACTGGAGGTATGACTGAATGCATGGATACAAGAAGTAAAATATGAGGTGTGACGAACAAGTAGAAGCACTCTAGGGTAGATACAATGGAAGTGAGTCCTGCAGTAAGTATGTGGTTTCTGGCAAACTCTTTTTAGTCCAATAAAATTAGCTTTGATGAATGCGTCATCAACTAACTGTGCTCTCACCTGGAGCTTTCCTGGCAGCAGCAAATCTACCTCCCTCTGCAAAATGAAGAGACGTTACAGTCAATCACTGTATTTGGGTACACGTACATTCAAGTAGTTAACAAAATCTGTGCAGATCTGAAGTCATGAGCATTCACCTTTAATTAATTTGGTAATTCTCTCTGATTCCTCATCGATCAGATTTGGGTTGCTGTGGATGGTGGTGATCTTAGAGAAGTCTGGTCCTGAGTGTTCAAAACAAAACCATTAGATCCAAAGACAATTTGTGCCTCACATACACAAATCAAGTATGGACTTAAATCAGCTTTAAAAATGCATCACATATTCTTTTCCACCTTGAAGTAACCACTTATCTTACATATGAATGATATACAGATTCATTTGATTATTTCAAGGCAGAAAGGACACAAACGTGAAAGAAACCTGTTTGTTATAAGGAGTTTGTGTATGGAGACCCTACCCTCAATGATATGAGGCTCGTTCGACGTGGTGTATCTGGTTCCACCTTCAGACGGGCAGCGGAGAAGGGTGTTGAAAGTCATTTAATGACTTAGCAACTGTACTGACTGACAGACAGACAGACTGACAGGTACATACACCCCGTAAAACACCTCCTCCGCCACCGCCGACACAAAGTCAAGCACAGATGTGCAGTATTTATGAACACACACACACACACATTTGCACACAAATGCACAGGGTGCGAAGTACAGGTGTGGAAGGGGCCCTCAACTCAGAAAAAGAGATCAAATTCTTTTTCTTAGCCCATAAACTAAGCTGCAAGACACCAGTGAAGCAGTTGTAGCAACCGAAAATGGCACATTAGAATTTGCTCACTGCTCACATGTACACATCACAGCTATGTTAGACAGAGAATGCGTAACAATGCCATTCTTGCACGAGAGACAAGAACACTGACAGAGAGATGAAATTTAGATGGACAAGTGGTGAGATCGACATCCAATCATGGTGCACCATGGGCAGAAAAAGAACATGTATAAAAACTTGGCTTTATCTTCATGCAGCTATGTGTGCCTAACAAGGAGATGGACTGCAAAAAAACCACCTCCTTCCTCCGTAACATCGTTACAGAGCCTATATAAACACCATAAACCATTATGAGCTTGTGATGTTTTGAGTGGGGGCTGTCCAAAGTTGGCCATAATATGCTGTATAATCTCAAGGAACAGAGTATTCTCTGTGTAAAACATATCTGGCTGTCCATTAGTGCAGCATATTATTACAGATGATTTGTGATTCTCAACATTACAGCAGCCAGGAAGCAACATAAGTGCTCCGGCACTAAACATTCATTGGCTCTGTTTTTCTGTCACTGGCCTACTTCATAAACCTGAATGTGATAAAAATATACCTATATTATATATAGGTAGAACTGTTTAAAATAAGAAACAAATGCAGATACTAAATTTAGTTTTTTGTCTTTGTGGGGTAATAATGACGCCACATAAGCAACTATACATAGTGTCATAATGCAGTTTCCTTTAGTGCATAGCCTTTTTGGTTTGCTGCAAATGAGCTAATAGTGAAACTGGATAAAACGACTCAACCAGTTTGATGTGTTGTTTTAAGTCAGATGTACAGTAGATGCTTAGTTTTATAAGCCAATACTGAGTGCTGATCAGGAAGTAGAGACACTAAAAAGACAGGCCCAAGCAGCAACAGAAACTCTGGCTGGCAGTTAACTAAACACAGCAGTGCAGGATATAAACCTGGGATTTGGGTTTGTCTTTGAACCACCAGTGGCACTATGCTAGTGACTTAGCATGGATAGGTATTTGATTTTGATTTCCAAATACATTTTATGATCTACAAATAATCCATAAACATCATGGAAATTGTGCCTTTAAGGCTAAAATGGTGCACACCATGAAAATTATTTGTCTAATGACTTAATTGATGATCACCAAGGAAACATGAAATGCAATGTGAAATGAAATTCACATTAGATGATGATGATGCTATGGTCAACAGGACCTTAGATGCATTTGTTAAAAGAGCTGTTAGAGTATGCATGAAAGTTCTTAGATAAAGACTATCATGCTCTCCAAGGGTTAAAAGAAACTGACCTGTAATTGTCTTTTCACTTGCATCAAGATCTCCACCTGCATTAAATAAAATGTGTCAAGTCAGAAAAATCCAAACTTTTGTATGGTCTAGATTTGATCTACTAACTTCTCATTTGCACTCAAAATATGATTGATTTAAGCGTTCTAAAATGTTTTACCTTCGATAACTCTTGTAACCTTGGTAATGGTAGGCTGTCCTCCAATGACCCTGGTTACTTTTGTGACGGAAGGATCTCCCTCGATGACCCTTGTTACTTTCGTGATGGAAGGATCTCCCTCGATGACCCTGGTGACTTTTGTGAGGGAAGGATCTCCCTCAATGAGCCTGGTTACCTTTGTCAAGGAAGGATCTCCCTCGATGACCCTGGTGACTTTTGTGATGGAAGGATCTCCCTCGATGACCCTGGTGACTTTTGTGATGGAAGGATCTCCCTCGATGACCCTGGTGACTTTTGTGATGGAAGGATCTCCCTGGACGACCCTGGTTACCTTAGTGATCACTGGCTCGCCCTCGATGACCACCTTAGTTACTGTCGGTTCTGTCTCGATGACCCTGGTAACCTTAGTTACAGTGGGTTCACCCTCAATGATCCTGGTCACCTTTGTTACATCAGGGACTGTTGAGAGGGAGAGGTAACATGAACATCTCTTAAGAATGACAGACAGAAAGGTTACATTTAAAACACTCCCACATTCTCCCTATTATGAGCAAAAAAGAAGGCTGGAGGAACCTTATGTGAAGTGATAAAAGCATGCAGAACAAATGGAGGCTGATGTGTGTTGGATATTAGATTGCATCACTAAAAAAGAAAGGCTTTAATAATCAGTGGTCAAGTGAGCTGCTCTCTATGGACAAATTCAATTTTCTCCTCTATTGGTTGAGTTTGAAGCATCACATTACATACATGTTTATATATCATATACCATTTAAAGGTATTGGTACAAAGAGGCTTGTCTACTGATTTGAAAATTATACAAAAGGAGAAAATGTGACACTACATAAACTTTTAACACATTTTTCTCCAGTCAATGAATTCTCATTCATGGTCAGGTCTATAAAACACAAGTCATCTTTTGAATCAGGTTCAATGAAAAATGTCAAACTTCCGCCAGGAACATTATTTCACTTTTTTTACATGATCTGCTTCTGAGCGAGGATTTTTTAATGTGACAGTATTTATATGAGCTATAAAGAGATGAAAGCTGACAGATGTATGTCTATATCAGAGGGTTTCTAATCTCTGACCTGAAATCTCTTGCTATGTGGCCTAGGCTGGTAATCATTGCCAGACTCTTGTCAAACTAAGTTATAAAGAGATGTAAGTAATTTATGCTTAAAACTGTGGCTGCTTTGTGAACATATACCAATACAAGGCCATACATGTCCTAGATGATCGATTATTTCACCTAATATCTAAGCAGTAACGATAATATAATGATGCACTATATATTTATGCATTTATGTTATGTGTTTGTGTGCATGTGTATTCTGCATGGTTTTACTGCCACATGTATCTTATTTTTGAAGTCTTGTATATCAAAGTTAGAACTTTTGGGAATTTAAGTCAGTGCCATTTTAATTTAAAAGTCTTTATATACAGTAAGTACATCAGTTAAGGTTACCTCATCAATCATGTCCAAGGACCCATTATGCAATGTGATATTATACACCAGATGGTATTACAACACAGTTTCTCTACTTTTAGTACCTCTACTACTCAATCTCATGAAAAGAATGTATAATGGTGCATTATAAATCTGCAGATATTTCTGTTAATCCCTCTCGTTCTCCCTCTTTATGCCTCTCTTTAAAAAAGACAAAGACAGAACCTATAAAACAAAGTGATGCCTACTTGTAAGCAAAGAGTGATTACAGCATGAAACCTAATGACACAATGACAAAAAATTGTAGAACATAGAAATCTTAATAGCTTTATCAAGTATACAATTTATATTTCCATACATTTATAGCATAAAATTGCAGCCCCTAAACCCTTAAAAATCCAATCCCTTTGAGCTTTAGCTCTATAGTCCATGTAATAAGCCTAATTACCTTTGAAGAGTTAGACTTAATCTCTCCTATGTTACCCAATATATCAAGGCATGCTCCCATCTGCGGGGAAGTGCACTAGACTCAGCCCAACTTAATGAACAGCATCCAAGAGTCCTCTATGGTCTCTGACCCTGTTATGCTTTGACAGCCTAATTACCTCATCCTTAAAAGAGCTGATTAAATATGTCAAGAGGTCCAAGTGGACTTCGTCCAAGCAATAGTGAGAGTGGCTAATCAGAGGAACAAAAGAGAGAACCATGGAGGAGGACTGAATGGAGCAATAACATGGATGTAATATTCTTGTGACTGCAGGTTGGATTTCACTTTAACAACAAAGGCTCATCTTTGAACAGAGAACATGAATTCCTTTAAAAGGCAGTCCGCCTCTTGTAATCACCACTAATGTTACATATACTGTATGACCATGACAGATTAAAAACTTGCCTTTTAATCATACAGTTAGTAATAGTTACCTGTTTCAATGTAATGTGTAGTTGTGATGGTCCTCTCTGTGAAGTAACACAAATAGTTTTAAGTTGTTGCAGATGCAATAATATCCACATGTCATACAGTACAATGAGAGTGGCACTAAAGAAACTTACTGAGGAAGGTGAGTGGGATCTCAGCATAAGAAAATCCAGAAACAAACTAAAAAACAGAAGGCATAACAGAATTGACAGTATAAGACACACAAACATAAAAACATAAATAAATAAATATACATAATAACATAAAATCTCTCTTTGATCTATGCATATTCAGACATATGTTATTTTTTCTTTCTCTACCTTTATCTGGATGTACTTGATCAGTTTCTTCAGGAGGACCAGGAGGTCCTGGCGGCCCACTGGAAGGTCTGTAAGTAATAAGAACATAATATAATGCATCCCAGCACAGAGTACACATTGTATGAAAGTACTGTATAATAATTTATGCTGTTTGCACCTCCGGGATAGAGAACATTTTTCACCACATGGATCACACCATTTGTTGCCATCAGGTCACTGTCTGGCACATCGACAGAGTTGACATGAATAGAGTTGTTTACCTGGGAAAAACAGAAAAACAATGTATATCTATTTTTGAAGGGCACATTCATATTGTGTGATCTACATCAGCTACTGCCTAAAAAAAAAAACATACCAAGACAGGGTATGGGTGAGACTGTACAGTACTGGCAGCCATGAGGGTGGGTGCATAAAGGTTAGTGTATGCTGTTAGCATCACTTGTATCAGAACTGAAGAGTGTTTCTTCATTGAAAAAAAGTAATGAACGGTACTGAAAGCTTTCCTCGACGGAAAAGATGTTTGCGCTCTTCAAGTGACTGACTTCCGTAAGAGTTTGACTACATTATTTTTTGAAAAGTCAAAGTCCTTTTTCTTAACATTTTCCGACAACAACTTCTATGATTCTGTGTAACAAACCATCTGGTTAAATTGGGTTAAGACTTAATAGGAATCCCAGGCAGTGTGCTCCATTGTTCGAAGTGAGATCTGGGAATCCTATTCATGATTAATTTCCTGAAACTTAATTGTCTCTGTGGAGGTTACTGAGAGTGGACATGAGTAAGTACAGTAAGGGATAGGTTTCCTCTCTCCCCCACCCACCTTCTAAATCAAAACAAACTTCCCTGTGTCCATTAAGAAAGTCCTCTAGCCCTGATATGAAACCTTGGCTGATCTGATGGCATGATAAGAGGGAGGGAAGGAGGGCAAAATTGAGGTAATGGGTGAAAAGATAATAAGGCCAACATGAAGACTGACAAGCAAGAGTAAGTCAGACAGAAGAAAATGGCAGGTGGAGGGCATCAGAGTGGGAGGTGGGGAGTGGTAGGTGAATATAGAGAGCAGGCGTTGATAGACATGACAGGAAGCCAGGTTTTTATTACTTCTGGCCCTTCTCCAGAGATATCCAGCTTTGAAGTAAAAGATTAGCACTGGCTCTTTGATGCTATTGTTTAAATGAGAATGTGAGGAAAGGTTGGGTTTAAGTCTCACAATGGAGGCTCTGAGAAAAGGAAAAGAAAGTGGTTATGTGTGGTCATTTTAACTTAATACTAATGCAAATATGCTGTTAATGGAAGAATCAACCCTCAGATATGGCCTTCTCTGCTTCTTCTTCAGTTGCAATGTCCTACATTTCCCAGAATGCCCTTTTCATTTAAAACTGGGAAGGAATTTAAATCTAGCTGCCACCAAACTAGCTTGTAGGGTATAATAATGGTTGCACAACATTCTTGATTTGATGGATTTGTTGGATACTGATGCATCTGTTGGTGTAGAAATAGGAGCTCTGAGGACACAAACACAGACTAAAATTATGGCTGATTGTACATACAGATATAACTTGCAGGTTGTTGCCCTGGAGGGTTTTGAGCAGATTGGTAACCCCTCCCTCTAATCCTCCATTGATGAAGACTCCATTACTGAAGTGGTACAGCAGAATGATCCTCAGAGCATTCAGATCACCTGTCAATCACAAGGAAACCACAATTTTCATACTGTACAGGAGGGCTAATATCCTTGATATATTTCTCTCCTCACCCTGCATTATATAGCTTTGAATCACAGCATACTATCCTGACAGCAATCCCCAATCTTCAAAAGGGAGATGCATGAAATGAAAATGTGTTTATTCACTTTTGAGCAGAGCAAGGTCTTCTCTACTGAGGCCATCGAAGGCATCATCAGTTGGTGCAAAGATGGTGTAGGAGCCTTCCTGCTTCAGCAAATCAGTCAGACCGGCTGTCTCCATCAGCGACAGGAAAATCCTACATTTATTCAAATAAAATTAGGAAAAGGGAAAGAAGAAAGTTATCAATACACAATCAGCATACAGTACTGTAGGAGTGAAAGGAAGCCTAGGAAAAAAAAACTAGGAATGTAGGAAAATAACATTTAAGCGTACAATGGCACAATGAGTTTGGGGTGTTAGGAGACCAGATTATATGTTGCATTTGGACCAAAAAACTGTCATGTGTTTTTTAATAGTAAACAGGAGGATTATGGGTTTGGCAGTGTGTTATGGAGTTCAGGTTGGAATCCGTGTGAGACTTGTGTACTTGTGTGGTCTCATCTCACACACATCTGCTTCCTCAGTTATTCATCATCAGCCTCTACTAGTGCCAATATCTGTCATATGACAAACAGTGAAATGTGTATGATCAGGCATTTTATTTTATTGTGAAGACGTTAATATTCTCCTTACACCACCACTTAATTTCTGTGTTCAGTCTCCTCATGTTTTTGTTGTACTTTGTTGAGCCTATCCCTTATGTAACATTTTTCCATAGTGGGGTGGGTATGGCAAACTGCTTTACAAAAATGAGTACATGTCCCAGTAAATGTATGTACAGATGTGTATATAGGTATATATATTTATATTCAGTGTCTACCTAATTTTCCACACATCAGATACTTTGGTATGGCATTGATAAAACCATTGAAATGTTTACGTTGTCTATGAGAAACCAAGTATGGCTGTAGCTGCAAAACTCCTGAGTGTGTCGAATTGAGAAACGTGTTTTGTTGCGAGTTCAACCTTTCAGTTGTAAGAGTAAGATTTTGTTATTTCATTTTTTTTTAAAGTTACGTAGTGTCTCTTTAATCTTACAAATGCTACAAGTGTTTCAAAGTCAGGAAAACAAATACATTCAAAACAACAGATAAACAATGATTACGTCTGATCTGATTGATAATTAATGTAGAAACAAGTAGCCTACAGCAACAAATAACGTAAAAGTAGTAGTAGTTCTTACTTGAACCGTCCGTCAGCAATCAGGAGCTCATACATTGTTTTCTCGGCAGGTTTGATGAAGGACTTCATAACATGGAGGGCACCATTGCTACCCACTTTACTGCCACGCTGCATACATGCATTTTCTATGCACACAGCCTAACAAAGGAAGCACATTTAGAGAACAGGGTTACAGGTCTTAAAGTCACTGTACAAATCTGGTAACTGTTTAGCTTAGGGTAGGGGGACTGTCACACTGTCCTGTTTGATTGCAATCAATCAAAAAGAAGAAATTCTGTGAGGAAATGAAACCAGCTGTTTCTAATATCTGAACCACCAGAGTGGAACACATTTAATCTGCCAAGAGCTGGACTAATTAGCTGTTTTATTGCATTTGTTTACAGTTGAAAGACAGCAAAATCATGTTAACACTTGTTAAGGGGCCCGGTAATGGCTTTCAGATTTCCACTATGGTAGCCGACAATCTCCATTGTCTTTCCATCACTTCTTATTTATCCTTTTTTCTTGTTCCTTCCTGACTGCTGACTGTTTAACTCCCTGATGCAACAATACACACACAAGCACACACATAGTTCTCACAGTGCGGTAAATGAAGACTCTGAGCAGTTTGCCAGCCAGCGTTTCCAGCAGCTGTCCATTGTAGAGCTCACTCAGCGTGATTTTCAGCTTCAAAATATGGTTTTCCAAAATTAATCTCAGTAGGCTCTGGTCTGTTGACATCACTTCGGCTGACAAACACAGAAAAAAGTTACAGTTTTAAAATGACTTGGGTAATATTACATGCCAGTCTTGATAAAACATGTAATATAAAATATGTGCATGCCTTACAAAGTCCTAGTCGTGAATAATATGAAATGAGTAATCATATATTTTGATCTGTGAAAGAAAAAATATGACTTCTCTTTTACATCCTTACTCAAGGTGAATTCACTGTGCCTATCTGATTCCCACAAGAACTTGTTTGGAGATAAACTCACTAGTGAAGGCAGCGTTGACAGGAGCAAGGAGTGTGTACTCTGTCTTCGGACCCAAGAGAGAGGCTAAGCCCAATTCGGACACCATGTCACTGAAAGTGCTCTGGAGGTCTCCCAACAGTTCCTTCCCTTCCTTGGCTGATATAAATCAGATTAACATCACATGTTGGTAAATATATAGCAAAATAATTTGTTAATTGTAAATTCATTAGGTAATGTTTGCTGAAGCAGAATTTGGATTAAAATTCAAGATGTGTTTTACCTGAGTCAGGGACGAGCACCTGATCGATGAGGTGGATGACACCATTCGTAGCAACAATGTCCTTCTTCAGCACCATCTTGATGCCATTGACTGTCAGACTGTCGCCGTCACAGCCGATCTCTATGGTGCTGCCTTCTGCTGTCTCATACACTGACCCTGCCATGATTGCTTCTGAACACTGGACACTGTTCAACAGGTGGTAGTTTGCCAGTGCTGAGTGGGTGAGTCGTAGCGTGAGAGAGACAAAGGGAGAGAAACAGAAAAAGTCACTCATCAGATTGCACCCTTTTATAGACTTTCTGGGTTGTCTGTAGTTATTTGTGTAATCTGGTTACGCAATCCAAGTTCGCAGCTGAGATCATTACTCAATATGTAATATGTACGGAAACACGTACATATTCTTTCAGCTCTTAATATTTTGGCATGTCTGTCAAGATTAAGATATAAGATTACACCCTGACTGAGTCCAACTGTCAAAGTAAGCAAGCAAAACTGGCCTGCTAAAGCAATGCAATGACAGCATGAAAAACCATTCCAAACCCACAAAAATTCAATTACAATCAGTGTCGTACTGTGGGCCAAACTACTCTGTGGTCCAAACCTTCCCTTGTAGAAACAAGGCCCAAGACTCTATATCATCTTTACTTTGGAGGCTGTTCTTACATGGTTGGTCAGCAAAGCCTGTTTGCCAAGTGTCTGAGAATTTATCTGAGGTTATATTGTGTTCCCAGAGGGAGCCACTCACTGAGGACACCAAAAACTGGCTTCATGCCGATAGAGATTCCTGGCAGGCCTGTGACTCAGCAGTTATGTAGATAAGCTACCACATTGGAGACATGGGTTTCCCCCTTTCATTGTGTGGTTGTGGACATGTTTGTGTGTGAGTATGTCTTTATTTGATGGGTATCTAAGTTTAGACATCCTTTTGGTAGGAATTTGCAGAATGGAGTTTGCAAGATGGTTTCATTAGTAGTTTTCATTTAACCCTAAACTGTGGGCATGATTTAAGTTCACTTCAGGGCAAATTAATTTGGGATGTCAACTGACCAAACCCTCAACCAGTGATGCTTTGAGCTAAATGCTAATGTTAGTATGGTAATATATTCACAATGACAATGCTAATATGTTGATGCTGAGCAGTTCACCATTATCAATTTGCAATCAGGGTCAAAGACTTGGTCATTCAAAACAAAGTACAACTACGGCTGATATGATTAGTTTTTTAAGTGACAAGTGAAATCTGCTAGTAGCGTTAGGAAATTCAGGGGAGTCAAAGTTAATAGAATTCATCAACTAGGGACCATGGAAGTCTGTACTAAATTTCATGCCTATCCATCCAACAGTTGAGATATTTCAGTCTGAATTGATAGTCTGTCCAGCTGACATTGCCATCCCAAGAGCCATCCCATTTCAAACCAGCATGGCTAAAGTTATTTAATATTTAATATTTAAGTGCACTGGCCCTCACCAGAATCAGTTGAAGGATGATATGCTAGTAGCGTATGTAAGTGTATCACATGTACAAAGTACCTGTAATAACAGCCTTGTCTCCCATAATACGCTCCAGATAGCCTGGGCCCAGTCTGTCAAAGGCTTTGTTAGTGGGAGCAAACAGTGTATAGTGGCCAGGCTGGTCCAGCTTGTCCATCAAACCAGAAGTCAATGCCACCGCCTGGATAAAAACACAGTGGGTCTCACATATAGCATTTTCAGATTCAAACAAGTTTAAATAAGTTTCATTAGACATGTTCTACTTCAAGCACATTTAGTCAGACACAATTTTGTTTGGCCATTTTCAGAGATCAGTTTAGGGTGTTGTGCATTTTACATACGTTGAAGGAGGAGAGATCATCGTTAACATCCAGGACTTCCTTGATGGTGCTGCCCACAGCGCTGATGACCCGATCAATGACATGCACCACACCATTTGTGGCAATCTGGTTACCGTGGATGATCCTTGCACAGTTCACTGTCACAATCTTCACGGAGAGGAGACCACAATTTAGATTCAGTTCAGTTAGTTAGAACTCTCTTTATTGACAATAGTCATGGATTCATGCAATCTTGTGCATTTCTAAACTGTAAAATGACTGACCCCATTTGAATAGTGGTTGATGTAGAGCCCCAGGTTATTGTACATGGAAGTGACACTCATGTCGTTCTTCATTTCTTTGGTCAGAAGACGGCGGTTAACCATGTGGAAGTGAAGAGAGTTGAACAGCTCGATGTTCACGTTGCTCACCAGTGCAGACCGTATAGTCTGGAGAAATCACAGCATTAGTTAAAGGGGAGTAAGTTTGTGAGTAAGTATGATTAAACCTCCAGTCCACTTACAGGGTCCAGCTGATCCCAGGCTTCATTACTTGGTGCAAACATGGTGAAGGAGCCTTTGCCTTCAATTTCCTCTCTCAGCTTTGACATGTCAGCGTATTGTTGTGTGGTCGTAGCCTTTATGAGCCCCAGCGTACCATACACATGGTCAATGGGAGCCACTAGAAGGGGGTAGCAGAGGGATTGTTCATGCTACAGACTGATAGTACAAGTTAATTAAACATTTGACTATGAATCCACCCCACTGTGCATGGGATAGTAATAATATCAGAAGGCTGTGGCGAGAGTCACGTACCTGCAGGGCATCCTCTCGCACCCTCCAGCTTCATGTACCCAGGACAGCACTCATAAAGCACCACACTTCCAAAAAAACAAAAACACGTTTAACATTTGAGTGATACAGTAGATTAAATTATCATGAAAAACACAAGTTATTGATATTCAGGTAAAGAATGTGAAACAGAAAGATTTGCATAGTGTTGGAGGAGATACAGTCAGAAAGATGATTCACTGTTTTTGTAACAACAAAAATACAAATAATATAGCGAGACGCAGAGTGAATGTAACACAAGTTGAGAAAACAGAAGAAGCTTGCCAGATTCAAGTCAAATTGACATCTGAGAGCAAGAAAAAAAGCTCTGGAGCTGTAATGGTCGAGGGTGACGAGTGCTTGGACTGAGAACGGTGAAGACATTTGAGACAGGAGAGCAAGGCTGCATGAAGAAGGGACTCACCAAATAACAAATCCATAATTGGGCAAAGCACATTTGAAAGTCAGAGCAAAAGAAGTGACGGTGTAAGAAAATATCCAAAAAAAGCAAACAAGTCAAGGAGAGTCAACACCATTAACATGAAAGTGGTACATTAAACGCTTCCACAAAAAAAACTGGCAGAGAGTGCACATCTCCCAGCAGGCCAATCACAGAAAAAGCTGGACTGGACTCAGAAAGAAAGACATGACTATGATACTTGCTTCAAGAGAGCCAGAACCTACAACATATATACGTATACATAATATCTCATACAACAGTAATAAACCAAGCAAATAAAAAAAACAGATCAGTAAGTGAGCCTTTATAGTATTCTATCTCTCTTAAAAATGAAATGATTGTTGAATAAAATATGTAAAGCAGTATTTCTACGGGCTGTCACATTAGTCAAATCCGGCATAGTCTCGGAAAACTCACAGCTACTACTTTCCTAAGGAAATCCGAGTCTTACAGTGTACACTTTATATTAATCTAGATACTGTAAGTGTTAACATGAAAACCAGACAGTGGTGTCTGCCCCCCCCCCGCACTTCCCCTTGGCCATTAATCTTATTCCCAAGGAGGTCTCCAAGAAAAACTAAATTTTGATATACAGTCAACTTCTCCTGCCCGTGTATATTTTGGAGTGGGAGGAACAGCTTATGAACATTTGTGAAAACAGAGCTCAAATAATTAGAAACATCCTGGCAGGAAGCTGAGAGGACCTGCTAAAAAAAAGTGCAACATAGAAGCTGTTCAGCTGCATGTTCCTCAAGTTCACATTGCACTTGATTGCAATGTTATGAGTGACAGAATGAGGTGTGAGCAGGCTGACAGTGTGAGCCCCAAATTTAGGTTTAATGGAGGAATAAATTAGGTTTTTGAGTAGAGTTATACTGAAAATGAACCACAGAGAGAGTAATCAAAGCAGACATTTTATTGGGACTCATCCCAAGATAACACAAATCTTCCAAGATGCAAACAAACTAGCTGTGAGTCAACATTGGACGCTCAACAATGATCCACCAGAGAAACAGCTACGGAGTTCCTGAACGCTGGAATAAGTTTAATTGGGGTTTAATGCAAAGCCATTCATGGGTTCCAGGTGGAACTTTCAGTGTGCTTGCTAAAGAGGGTTTGCTTGGTAAGATTACACATTCACTGCATTTAGGGCTTGAGTTTTAAGGTTTCCTGCTTTCTGTTTTCCCATGGAAATACTATGTCTCATATGAACTCTGTGCTTCTACAGAATTCACCTCCAAAACAAATAGCTGTTTGCTTTCCTTTCAGTAATGAACACAGTAGTGATATATTATGCAAGAGCAAATCACTCCCTTCATAGCCCACTTCAAACATGTAAGCACACACAAAATACAACATCACTCACTTTCTCCCTTCAACTCCCTAAAATGACTCACATGTTTTGGCAAACCTAATCCACTTTACACAGTATTTGTGTTTATGGAAATGTGTGTTTTGATACTGAATATTGTGAATTTGCTATTTTTGTGAACATAACCATGTCGTTAATAGTGCAATGGTTCTCTGCTTTGACGGTAATTGTTATAATGTATAATACATAAATATCCACCACAGTTGGCTGTCAGGAAGGTATGAAGTCATCACTCCCCGGCTGCATTCTGACAGAATAATGGATGCAGTATAGACCAGAGACAGAACTAACCAGTGCACTGCAACCAGGCCTCTGGCAGTGTCATTGCATGAACCAGCTAAATGTGGCATCCAGATGAGCAGATGTGCAAACACAGGGCATGAATGCACACACACACACACACACACACACACACACACACACACACACACACACACACACACACACACACACACACCTGTACTAGGGGTTGTCTGGCATCAGATAAAAACATTACAGTTTTTTTCCTGTTGTGTAATCAACAATCAACAGTCTCTCTTTTGTCCTCAAGTGTTTTTTAATTCAGTGCCAGTGGATTCCTGAATACTGTGCCAACATTTTCTTTTTTACATACACTGGAATGGACTTAAATTATGCCAATGCTTTACCAGTTCTCTGACATTATTATGGTTTAATCAAAATAAACTTGATTTTAAGCACCTCTTGTCCTCTGTTCCCTGCATGTGGTGTTTGTCACCTACAGCACATCGCTTTAAAGGAAATTGCTTCCACCTGAACCGCCTGTAACTCACTTTGTTCAGAGATCTTTGTGGAAATAAATGCATTGAGAAATCTCCATGGTATCATTTAACTCCAGGTTGGATAATTAGAAGAACACAGTTGAAGTTGAATTCATAGCAACACAAGTTGTTCTTTGTAATAGTGGTTTCTAGATTCATTCCTGGTATTACTTCAACTGCTGAACCTTCAAAGCCTGTTTAAACACTTACTTGTTTGTACACCAGCCTGCAGCGAAATAGCCATACTGAAGACTCAAACACCCTTTCCTAATCTCTCATCAGTGCCAAATCCAACTCAGACAAAACCACAGCTGGGTGGATTTCCTCCAATGCTGCTGAACAATGTCCCCAGTGTGACCACAGACAGATTTATATTTTATTTAAAGCCATGTTACTTAAAGATGGAAAATCTGAATACCTACTGCTGTATATTGGATGAATATATGTATAATAAGGGGGAAGAGAGAGGGAATGACAAGTAGCAAAAGGCCACAGGTAAGAGTTGAACCATGGGCTGCTGCAGCAAGGACCCCTTGGTACATGAGGCACCAACTCTACCAGGTACGCTATCTGGTTACCTCTTAATGCCTTTTAAAAACAGAGTTTACAAAGTGCTTTAACAGACAAAGCAAAGTGATGGTTGATGGTTTATGTTCCCATAAATCATGATATGTTTCTCTATTTTACTCTCAATTTGTTAAAAGTCAATACAGTTAAATGTAGATGAATTCATGTTTTCTTGACAATTTTTTTTTTCAGAAGGAATACGTTTAATGTGTAAAATATTTCATTGTTTTATTCATTCATAATTACAATCTCATCTTAAAATCCTATTATACCTAACCGACTTAATAAACTTCTTTGAACTTGTTTTAAGCACCACACACCAAACTATATTGTCAGGTGAACAATATAATGGAATTAATAAAAGGAAATATATTTTTATGGTGCATTAGCAATCCAAGAGACAAAAACAATTCAACTTGTTTGCTACCTCAGATACCATCATTACCTTCCTGCTGTGTACGTTCTTGTTAATCCATGTAATGTTATCTCAGTATAATCCATCGCTGTGCCGTGTTGGGGGAAAATGACTCACTTCTGGACTCAATCCTTTATCCCTTCTCATTTATTTATGTATCATTTATTTCCAGGCTTATCCTAACACAGCTGCAGGTGTTACAGCTGACTGCATGACTAAGAGAAAGAGTGTGTGTATGTGTGCTGTGTTCTTGTATGTGCATATGTGTCTATGATAATAGAGAGTAAGTGAGAAAGAGTGTGCAGGTTTTTTTTTCTAATCTCCCGCTACACTCTAGTCACCTACAAGGCAGCAAGCAGCTCCATTCGAGCCTTACACTCCATCAACACATCAATGTATTTCATATTTTTAGTCTTATATCTATCAATTCTACACTTCATGTCACAAGAAAACATTACAATCCACCACCAACAACAACAACCTCTGATATTATATGTCCTGCAAAAGCCCCCAAATCTAATCTGGTGACATTTCAGCTTATGATGTTCAAATTTGGTGTTTTTCAACCTGGAAAAAACAATTAATTCAGCACTATTAAAGTCATTTTAGCAGCACAAATATAGTTACCACAACCTATGCCAAGAAAACAAATCTGGTGAGACTAGAGCTGCAATATATCCTCCATTTTACACAAACGCAAACAAACACTAGAAGCGTATAGCCTGAGTTTTTGCACCTGAGCACCTAAACTGTGTCAGAAAGGAAGTGATGAGGCATCAATCACTGTTGAGAAGAGTTTACAACATCAACAGGCCAACAATGGAGTGAACCCCAGGCCTGGAGGCTATATAACATGCCCAGACTGGAGATGAGGGGAGGGGTGGATGATGACAAAGAAAGATAGTTGCTGTATATATAAATAATCTATATGTAGGACACTGAGAGTGTGAAATGCAGTTGTAAAGGGATGTTTGTATGTTGAGCTAAAGCTCTATGAAAAACTAGAATGATATGCTACAGCTTGGGTGGATTTTTCTCTTTATCCATGTTTAAACATGGAAATCTTTACAAAGACATCTTAAAATGTGTGTTTGTGAAGGTTCAGAGAAGAGAGAGAGACAACTACGTGGTCAGATGAATTGAGATGGAAAGAGCCTGAGGGTTCAGAAAACTGGGGTCATGGAAAGCTGACCTTGGCTGTTTCACACATAGGGGACCAGGTGGAGATAAATGGAGGGAAATCCACCCACATGTTAAGACACAGACACTTAGCACTTAGCACTTAGTACTTGATGTTAGTTTGGCTTGTTATAAAATTATGAAATACTCCTGTCAGAATGTGTGAAAGCTGGGAGTGGTTTGCACTTTGGGTGAGGCAATTTGGGATCTGTGCAAATGAAAGAAAAAGCTAAAATAAAATAAAAGCACAAAGTAATTCAATCCATTCAAGACTTACGCCTTCTTGCCGCAGATGGAGCCTTTGTACCAGTTCCTGCATGTGCTGAAGTACTTCTTTTTAGTCCCCATGACCTGCTGCAAAGCGCACACATTGGGTCTGTAAGAGGAAGGAGGCGGGGAGGTTTGATGAGGGAATGACAAAAAAACGTGAGACGCAAAGGTGGGAGGAAGGGCAGGTGAGGCAAGTTGTGGGAGTGTGTGAGGGTGGAAGAGGGGAGGGGAGGCAGACAGGTAAGGTGAAGAAAGAAGGAATATGAGATAAGAAGACATGAGAGGTGGGTTGTTGAGTGAAGGTTAATGACACAGGGAGGGGTACATGCAGGTAAAGAAAAACATAATTTATACATGCCCAGGTGTATGCACAGTTCTTCTTAACAATAGTTACTTTCTTTTTGTTTGAAGACCCAATAATTTGAAACTAATACTTTAAAACAGTATTCAAGTATTTTGAAATCACAATTTTTTAATGGCAGCTGATTCTAAGATGCAAATGAACTTCCTTACACATGAATGAAAATTTTAAAATCAAAATCAGTTTCAAACACCAAATCGGGCACATTTTTACAGGAGAGGAGTGAATAAATGTGAAAGACAATATTGAATTTTCCATTACGGCTTGAATCAATATTTTCATCAATGTGGCTGACCTGATTCTCAAATCAGGATCGAGCGCTTTATGTGATTTAAAAACACCTCAAAACATAAGTATAAAATCTGACATAGGCAGCACTTCACATAAATACATATTTGCCATATTGTTACTAATCATGCACATTATGTTTTCACATCTACTGAAAAGTGCAAAAAGGTTGATGTGGATGGGAAAAATCACTAGTTATTTGGTAAATAAAAAAAGAAAGAAAAGAAAGCCAATAACTTTTACACTGTTCTTTAAATTTTACAGGCGCCACCCTTTCCTCAATCCTCCCCAAGTCCCATTTCCTTACCCTTCCTTCCTGGCCCGTATGCGACTGTGGCTGACTATCTTGTCATAAGCTGAAGAATCCACACTCCCTAGAGAGCAGAGTGTCACCAGCACTAAAGTCACCGCTAGCAGCTGATGCATCCTGGGGAGTTATCAGTCCTCTGAAATGCAAGGGCACCAATACACACTCCTCTTGTCTTTTAAACACACACACAAACACACACACACCCTCACCCCCCAAAAAATACACAGGAGATATGGGAGTGCGAGTGAGAGAGGGAGCTTTTATACCAACAAGTCTCTCTCTCTCTCTAAAACACACCCGTACCCACCCACCTCTCTTTTTACTGCCTCACTGTCTTTTCCATACCATTATGTCCTGCTGTCACCCCCCCACACACACACCCTTCTCTTAAGTCAAAATCCTCCCTCCAGCTCTGACTCGAGCATGAGCTTATTGCCTCCCCCTCCCTCATGATGTTTCACATGAATTTCTCATGATTTTCTTTACCACCATCACATCCTAGTGCACCGAGGACACCCTGTAACTCAAACTTTCAATTGTTCTACACTTTAAAATGACAGCATGTCCTCCAATTTTGGATTGTCCCTTTAAAAGTATATTAGATTTGTATGACCCATGCATCTAAGATTAACAGACAATTTTAAGAGGGGAACACACTTGGAATTCCCATCATGGCTGAAAGAAAAAAGAAACAAGTAAATTCATGTGAAGGAATCAAGAGTTATAGTAACTAATTAAATGTCATTCACATTCACACCTTAACACACACAGCAGTAAACACACCTTTAATATGTGTCCCTGGGACATTTGGCAACAAAATGGTTGAGTTCAATTGAAAGAAATATTTTGAATAGGCTTTAAAGTAAGGCTGTAAATCAAACTCAAAGAGCCATGGTGATGAATCTGTATAGATGATAGGTTTACACTTTGCTTGACAGAAGCCTGGCTGTATTTTTATCATCTGTCCCCTGTGATAGCACTCTCCTCCTCATTACGTTTACGACATGGATTCATCATTTCCACCAGCCTTTCCTCCCTTGGAACTGCTATTTGAGCTTCAACTCCTCTTTTTTCCCCCTCCATCCTCCCTGCTGTCGTGTTCGTCGCTTAACGGCTCAAATCTTCCACTGGTCCCAACCTCTCCCTCAGCTGTCTTCATCTCCTGTGTTGAAGCCAGATCTGATACAGCTTCAAAGGGAGAATCCATCACGAAACATCGTCGTGTACAGGCTTGACTTGTGAACAGTCATGCTTCTTAACTAAAGACATGCAGGTCAGGAGTCCCATGGGGATGTGGATTCATTGAATTAAGAGGATGAACAAAGATGACCATAGGTACCCAGGTATAGATGACTGTTTTGTTTCTTACATAATAAATACATATGCATATGGGTTTTTCTTGTTAAAATATAACCAATAAATATATGTGATCAACAGAATAATATAAACAAAACACATTTACTCATTCTTTATGAACTTACATGACCTCTCTGATCCCAGCAGCATGCAGAACGCTGAGCCATCTCTAACAGGGCTTCCTCCCTGACAACTTCCTGTCTATGAGGCTATCTTAGCATTTAAGAAAAAAAAAATTACAGCTTGAGAACGGTGCACATATTCAGCCCAGCCTGCAATTTACAGTAATTTAAACCAACCGGCTATTGATTTTGTTTTTGTTCCCCGCCCGCTTGAGGCTCCTTGAAGATCCCCACACACACAAAACACACAATAGATGCACACTCACTGACTCAGACATATAAACACCTACAGGTCATGATGTATTATCAGTCAGCAATTAATGAAATACCCCTCCTCCATTCGCATGTCAGCTTTCCATCCTCTAAGATGAATTTAAATCCTGTTTAGCCCTGTGTGTCACCCTGTTTCTTGCCCACAGTCACACTCTCCTCTAGATCATGCTGAAATATTGGCAGAGAGGAAGCAGAGAGCTGGAAATCCATCCTATAATGACATCTCCCCCAAGTGGAAAGGACTTGTCAGTACAGTCCTTTGTGAGGTTTCTGTACTGTAACATGACACAGAGTTTTTTTTAAAAGCACATTAACACATGTAAGAACAGGAAAAACAAGTTTTCCATTGGTCATTTTTGTCTCATGAGTTCCCTTGGATATTTAGCAGTCAAGAACTTACCCTTCTGTCCCTAGCTGTAGGAAAAATTGACACATTTTTCTTATTGATTAAAGCATCCATGACTCACCTGGCGTAAAAGCTCCTAAAGGCCATGAAAAGGTGTACAAAAAAGAAGCCTGCACTATTTATTTCATTAACAAGTACAATTGAATATATTAAAGACTAGTGTGTGCAGAAGAACATTCCTCTCAATTTTTAATTATACAGGACATTTAGGTTAATAACACATCATTCTTTTATATGTAAAAATAAAACAATAAGTTTATATCAGCTCAACTCAACTTGATTGTGAATTTTTGGAATCTGATTCCATAAGATTTCTTATCAAAAAGTAAAGGTTGATCCATGACATGCACTCTAAAATATTTTATGTATTTTAGGGATAATATACATTTTTGGGCAGAATTTTAAAGTAATCACATTCCTATTTAAGTGTTACAGCAACAATTGTAACTTTTCTAGCCAAAAAGAAAAACAGCTGTTGCTTTCTGAAACTGGGGTACCAAATTGCAGAAAATACTAGTTCTTAGTCTACACAGAGTTGCTTTAAAGGGACATCTGGAGGTTCATAAGTAATCGGGTAATTTGTAATTTAAAGTGACACATTCATATTTTAAATAAATACATAGCATTACATAATACTAATATTACTGACTAAGATTTGAGCATTTATAATGTGTGAGTGTGTGCATATAGTTGGAGCGCTTTATATGCATGTGTTTCTGAATCTGTGACAGCCTGGTTCAGTGCAGTTGGAAGATCCATCACAAACCCAGGAGCATTTCAGCAGAGCCTTTTGATCACACACACAGCTCAGTTTCATCATCTGTTGAATATTTCATCTCTTTTTCACTTGCTCGGTCACTTAGTTTGTTGATAGAAACTGTAGGCCAGTGACAAGTACAAATAGAAAAGAGAAAGAAAGCAGCCAAAAAATCAGTTCAGGGACAGCAAAAATGTCCAGTCTGTATGAAAACACACAAGGCAATTCATTCAACATTCATTGCCAAAGTGAGAAACTGTAATATAATAATTGAAGTACACATTCAATTAACAAACTCTTACTGCTTATACAGAAAGACTTTCAGTGTTAGCATAAAACCAGTTGCTGGTGGAAACGTACCGGCAGATAAATGAAATATTTACAATTTCCTCTCATTGTGTGGTTTTGCTGTAGGCCTACTGACTATTAGAACTAATGGAAGGACATTTCAGCCGTTAATGGACAGACTGTTGCTGAGTAAGAAGGGAAATTGCCTGATATCAGACAGAACTGTCAGAAACGAGATACTCTTTCCATCTTTAGTCTGACAATTTCCATGGGGGACCAATGTAACAGCCAACATAATTTTAAGTCGACACAGATACGTTGCCATGCAAACATAATGGTTTTGCTGTCAATATGTGCTACCCATTGAGAGTTTAGGGTTAGACTCTGCTAAAGTTTTTCGCTATAGGGTAGCATTTATCAAGCAAGGCAGAATAAATCGTCAGAACACCAGGGCTTTTAAGAGTGTTTTAAAATGTTTAAAACCAAAAAGCTTTGATAGTGTCTATAGTGGTCACCATCATTGTTATTACCCCTCCTTGGTTCCAGTGCATAGTTTGACAAATAAGTTGTGCCGGTTGTCCCACCCTTGGCAGTAATTGGCATTTTGTTAGCCCTCCCGCGGTGTTCACTGGATAATCCCTTTGCCAGACCAGAATCAGTCAACTCGGAGGAGTGGGCATTTTCAAAGGTCTGGACCCAGGCAAGAAGGAAAAAACTTCTTGAAAGGATTCAGTAATTCTGTGCAGTACTTGGACTCACTCCATTAATGCACTCAGTATATGGCACTCGCTTCTAGGCGTCACACTTTTTAACACAGTACTTCCATTTTAAACAACAATATGGAGGTTAAAGTTTAATCCAACAGTTTTACATATAAAATTGACTCATATGTCTTCTCTTCTTTTTAAAGTGTTAAAGACGGTATGTAAAATGTAACTGAATGGAAGATTTTGAAACAAGTGCACAATATAACATAACTATATTATTTTATAATTGAAAAAAACAACTCTTTTATTATTATATAATATAGATATAATACATTTTTAAATATCCCTGCTCTGACAGTTCACTAAACTGATATGTGCCCATGGGGAATTTAGTTCTGATAACCTGGGCCTACCTCATTCTGCTTTTCCAAAACCAGAGACTTATCTAAAAGCTCTGCACCATCCCTCATTACAAATGTGTTTTTAAATTGGAGCCATGGGAGTGGAGTAAACCTTGACATCCATTTTTTAAATGAGAGCATAAGCCAAGCTAATGACAGATTTTAAATGATTTCTTTTTCAGACAGTTTTTGGTAGATTATCAACTAGCCAAACAAAAGCAATAAGCTATGTAAACTATATGACAGCTATTAAGATATTTTTTGTGGCAGTTTAATTGAGAAACATGATCAGGCCATGGTATTATGTTGTTATGCTTTCATGACTTTGAAACTAATTTTCAAAGAAAATAAACTTGATAAACAGATTAAATCCACGAAAATGGCAAAGAAAATAGAGCTGTATACTTTTTTTAACCAAACCATGTATTTTTTGTAGTTATTTCCTTTAAATACCACACAGGTTTTCTTCCCAATTGATAAGCCTTTATGAATGAATGAATGACGACAAAAGACAAAAAACAAGAAACAAAAAACAACAACAAAAAGTAAGATCCTCAAAAGTGACACATTGTGTTGGCCCATTACGATAGCATCATAGTTTTTAAGCATTCTGTTCATGTCTGTATCTGTCTGCAATCTGCATTGAACAAAGGAAAGGAAAAAAGCCAAATAAAGAGTCTAGTTTCCAGTTTATTTTTTATCTATATTTTAATCTCTATAACATCATTCATTCAAACTAACATGACATCTAAAGTTAAAAACAGCAAATTTGTTGAAAATAACTAGTTTATTTTCTGTAGTAGCGATAAATAATGAATAATATGTTGCTTTTAATGGTTGATAGGCTGTGTCCATATTGTATATCTCTTATTATTCTTTAATTGACAGTCGGCTACCTTACATATGAGAACACTTGTAATAGACTGTCACGATTAAATGTACCATTATCCTCTTCCACGATGAGAATCACCAATCCCAGGTTTTTGCATAGAAAAACATTGACAGAATTGTTGTTGCATGATAAGAGCTTGACACATCTTTGACTAATACTGTATGCCAGTATAAAGTGTGTAAAGTGCCGAAACAGACAGAGTAAGGCAGAGAGTCGGGTCTAAAACAGAACACATCTATTGCTCTAGTGAGATAAGGATAGGGAGAGTTAAGCAGTGTTGAGATAAACAGGAAAGGGAAAGAGGTAGAGAGAAATTGATGAAGGAGAGTATGGTGAATGGTGGATAACTTGAAAAAAAGGGCACATGTCAGATAAGGGTCAAGGAGAGAGAGGAGGTTAAAGAAGGAGAAAATTATGTTTCAAGAAATAATAAACCTTCCAATTATCTGCAGGGATGAGATAAGATGACATGACTTTATCCTAAAATCTAAATCCTTGTGATGCTCACACGGAGCTCCGTTTACCTTTGCTGCATCTCCACTCCAGCATCTCCATATAACAGCATTTAAAAACACTGAAACCAAAGGCCTCCCTGAGTCTCCAAAGATCAAAGCTGGTCATCCTCCCTCGAAGCTCACATTGATTGTCAGTCTTCAGCCCAGCATTACTTGTCCTGTATTTATATGCATGTATTGTCACATCTTATGCTTCTTCTCTAGATGACCCTGACAAACATCCATCAGCTACTGAGTCACTGCAGGGTAAACTCTCTTTGTCCTTCCCCTCAGTTTCTTTTTTCCCACCTTCATCCAAGCTGTTGTTGGTGTTGGAGACCTCGCTATTTTCAATCAGGGGCTCATTTACAGCGGCTTCTTCCTCCTTTTTTGTCTCCAGGAGTCCCTTCTTATCCTTGCCTTTTACTGTATGCTCTTTGTCCTGGCCCTCTGCGTCTGAGCCCCCAGACTCCCCTGCTTCCTCTGACAAAGAGTACATCTTTCTGGAAATTTCTAATGTGCCTGATGCATCTTCATTGCCACCCCAGTGGCGTTTCTGGAACAACCCAAAGTCAGTGATATCTTTGGGGAAATTTCTCCTCTGGTTAGACTTTTCACTGGAACTCTCATCAGAGACCGGGGACAAGAGTCCGTTAGGTAGACCGTTGGAGGCTTCAGGCGGCCTGGGTGAAGCTGTAGAAGTGCCCTGCTTGAGGATGGATGTGATGATCTTGAATCGGTTGAGTTTGCTTTTCACCTGGCTGCTCTGAGGACAGGGAGAAACCTCGAGTGAAGAGCTGGAGTAAGCAAGACTGGAGTCCACTGAGCTCCCACTGGCCTTCGCCCCCTGTAGAGCAGGCTTTCCTGTCTTCATCATGCCCATCACCTCGTAACGAAAACTAGAGATATCTTGTTTCAGCTCCTGGGTGAGTAAAGCAGAAAGTGATCTCCCTTGGTAAATTAACTAATAATTTTAATCGTCCCAGTCATTGGTAACTTCAGAGCAGACTGCAGAGTATTGATTCAATTTAAACTCAGTCAATACTAAGAGGATAATTATAATAATGATAAAGCACTTTCTTGTTCCCACAAAGCATGCAAGAATATTTTAATATGGGACATTTTTCCATATGCCACATCTTGAAAGACCCACAGCTGACAAATAATAACAAGCCAAGCGTCTGTCCTGCTAAATAATGGCCAATTTAACTCTTTTTTTGTGTATGGATTTTTTTTTTTTTAATGGTTGGTGTGGCAAACGTGTTAGCAAACGATTGTCTATTTATACACCCAACAGACATAAAGCTACATTAGAATAACTTTGGAGTTGTTCGTGTCCACCTGGTGGAATTAAGTTCAATAGTGAGTAAGTTCAATGTTAGTTTCTCACTTTTTAGCTCAGGTTTTGGTTTCCACCAACATCTGACAGAAATATCTGGATCCATGGCTCCTATATGTTCCACTACGTTGTCCAGCAAGTCATTTGGTATCATATAGTGGCTTTTTTACTGAAAATGGCTGCCTACTGCAGCCCAAAACACACTATGAAAGCGGTGAGGATGAACCTAAACAGCAGTTGTGGGTCGGAAAAAAACAGAGTTCTTACTGCAGAGTCTAATAATTCTCTGTGGGTTTGTCATTAAAACTCCTGTCAAATACATGTAGTCATGTGATCTATTGCACCCATTTCAGTTATTTGCTTTGCAGGAACTGTGCATACCTTGAAGTTTTCTTCAGTCAGGCCTTCCTCTGTCTTTGCATCTCTGATCATAGCGGCCACATAACGTTTCACCAAGTTTCTCAATACCTCCTACGGGGGGAATGTATTTGAGCACAATAAAATCTTCTAATATTGAATGAAAGTGTCGTTTTACAACAGAATACAATAGTCAGTCAGGAAAAAGATGGCAAATATAGATGCACACAAGAAAATACATTTCAGGCTAGCAGCTACTACAATAACCACCTGCAGATATAGACAAATAGAAAATCCTCTACAGAGAATGGTGATGAACATCCCACTGAGTGTAATTGTTAGGCCTGTTATATGAGACATCTCAAAAGCGTTCTATTGATAGATTGAAAAGAAAAGTGTAGAATGGCAGTCAAAGGGCAGAATGTGTGATCTGTCACTCACACTCACGCTCTTACACACACAGAGACACACACTCAGAGGGCAATAATCAATTTCAGCTTGCTTTGAAAGAGACTACATTTACCTGATACTGATGGTTCATCCTCAGGTTCTCTGCTGCTCGCCTCTGCACAGACATCAGATGCCAGAGAGGTTAAGTTAGAGCAAATGTGGGAGATGAGAGAAAAAGCATATTTAGTTTTTCACAGTATCACACATTTTTATTAAACTTTGCTGTCTGTGGGTCTCACTGCATGTGGCCCCTGACTGTTGTAGCGCAAAACAGTAAAGACTTCCGTCATTAAAAAAAATATCTTCTGCTTCGTCTGCCAGTTATTTTCTCAGTAAACTGTTTTGTCTATAAAATGTCAAAAAAAAAAATAATAGTGAGAAATGGTGGGGTCTTGACATTCCTGGTTTATCTCACCATCAGTCATAAATAACATATTCAGTTTACTGTGATATATGATGGGGAAAAGCAGCAAATCCTGGTATTTGATAAGCAGAGCATTTTTTGCTATAACAACGATTGAAATGATTAATCAAATCCAATGAATGTTTCTGCAAATCAACTAATCGATTCAGCTCTACTATTCTTACAAAATGACTGACTGCACAAAGAAGAGCAAATAATGGTGGGTTTTAAGAAAAATAAGTAATTTGTGTCTGGCTGACAAAATAATAAATATAACAATTTTCAAAATGAATTATGGATATCTGTCTAACATTTTAGAACATAGGTTTTCTGAGATTCACTCATCAAAAAAAACAACAAACAGACTCTCTTCTTTCTATTTCTGTGTGTCTTACCCCGAGAGTTCCAAAAGTTTCGGGCCGCTTGGAGCTCGTCCTTTTGCACACTTGCTTCTTGATCCAGCAGATGAGGTACAAGAATGATTTGGGGCTGGGGATGATGTTAAATGGGGCAGGCAGAGTGGCCCCTTCTTCAAAGTAACTCATCCACAGCTTTGTCCTGGCAAACTTCCACTCAATGTCGGCATGATCCTGAAATCAAGATTAGGGCACATGAACAACACTGCCAACACAATCATTATCTAATCCACACACTCATGTGACTTTTTGTTTGCAACATGTTTGATCTGTGCTCACAGCAATGTGCTGGTAGGAGTTGTTCATCATGGCTATGAGCATGTTGAGGAGAACCACCAGAGAGATGATATTGTAGGTGCCAAACATGGTGGCGCCTACAAACTCAGTGAACTGATGGTCTGCATCCACGTTGGTCACATAGAGGCTGATCAGACCAAAGATTGACCAGAAGAGAGACTGCAGGGTCTCAAATAATCTGCATGGGAAAGATATATAGTCAGTGTAAAGTGAACATTTTATCAATTGAAGGTGGAGAAAATTTTGTTTTTGAAATTCATTTTCAACATTAGTTTCTCTTAGCAACTGAAAACCTTTTCAGTTTTCACGCATTTGGCAACCAGTAACAGTAACAACATACACAGACACACAACTCTCTCTTTTTTTGCCACTCAATTTCCCAACATCACACATCTACACTACACATGCAAGCCAGTTTAGATTCATGTGAACTTACGTGGAGAAAGCGTTATTCTGCTCCACACAGCGGATGCCTTTGCATTTGCCCTTCTCATCTGAAGCCTTCGTCTCATAGTAAAAGTACAACTGGTTCAGCCCATTAGCAAAGGCCAGTAGGACCTGGAGAAAGAAAATTGATGAAATTTAAGCCAACCCATCTGTTTCTTTGTCTTATTTACTGTTCCTTACTTAAACAACTGTGCGCATGTTTATATTCCTGCCCATGTGCAAACATTTACCAGACAATAGATGAAGAGGAACTTCAGGATGTCCAGCAGCATTCTCCCCAGAGAGATCTGCAGTGGCCCCAGATGAGAGTTGGCTGTAAACAGCGAGATGAGGCGCAGGGAACTGAAAATGTTCGCTATGGCAAACACTGCCTCAGCTACTAGTGTTGGGTGCCACATCTCCCACTGGTTCCTGGGTTTACTACCACTGTACTGAACAAGACAAAGGATGGCGGACAGAAGTGAGAACACAGGAAAGTTACACAACACCTAGTGTCCATTTCACTGCCATGCAAAAATAATTGGTTACCTTAGTGTAGGCTACAATCTTGAGAGATATGGTGGCCAAGTATAGAGAGTTCATGACAAAGTCCATCAGGTTCCACCAGTCATGTACGTAGTCTTGGAAACCACCATCCCACATTTGTTTGATCTCTGCCCAGATGAATCCTAGAAATACAGAGATTGTCTTCTCATCTGTTCAATAAAAATTCTTATACCAAGGACACAGAATATACTTAGTTTGTGATTGGCTGTTGTGGATGTCTGTTAAAATAATATGAGTTATTTCAGGCTTCCAGTGTTGTACAAATAAATGTCCCGTTCACTTTCTGCATGGACAACTTTAGGTGAGTGGGAGTTAAAGCAATTCTAGCACTTCTAGCTTGGATGAGCATGAAACTCCCCTGGCTGACTCTCCAGAGCAAAAGATCAGAAATTGCATTATAAAATATCAGTTTATTTTATTATCAGGACTGAGAGTCTGCATCTCTGTGACACTGTATTCAGACACAGTGGTGCTTTGAGTTACACACTAAAGTCCGCATGCTAACACACTCACAGAGACAAAAAACTGACTACCTCAAACTTAAAAAAAAATGTGTGATAAGATGAGCACATCTTCTCCTCTTTCTATGTTAAATGGCCATGATGTTATCATGATGTTATTTTTGTACATCAATGCACTCATCTCACTTACAGCTATCCGCAACTATAAATGCCCTCAGTCCTCACCCCTTTTACTCACCCAGTACCCAGGGCAGGATCATCCACTCCACAGTGGTTGGTGCCGGCCCCTGTCTGTCCTGCCTGTCCTGCTCTGTGGTGACAATGTGCTGGGAGGCGAGGAGCAGCAGGAAAAGAAAGGTCAGGTAGGACGCTGTATGGCAGATAAACTTGATGAAGGGCTTACGGATGAAGAGGCCATAGCGACTTTTAGGAGCGATGAGGTAGCAGAGAGCAAACGCAGGGTAGAGGAGGCCGATGAAGACACAGGTGAAGAACTTCCCTGCCCATTGGCGACGTCTCCAGCCGGGGAACTCATCATACCACCGGGATGCCAAAAGCTGCTGGCAGTTTGGCTGAGCTACAAACTTAAAGTAATAAGAGAAGGGAGGGGAGAGTTATTTCATCTGTTGGATCTACAGAGATAACAACTTCACTAATCTAAGGCATGATTGCAGCATGTAAGCCTGCTGGGAGACAGCATCCTCAGCCTGAGGCTATTTAGAGGTTTTACACAGAACATAATGCCCTAGTGACCACATGCCAGAATTAGCCCCTGCAGCAAGTTCCAGTTTAGAGAATACAAATGTAGGAGTAGGATGTGTTGGTGGTGTCAGAAATTGAAGGGTAATAGACACACATGGATATTTGAGAAGGGAACTCAGGTAATGGCTGTCTTGACACAGAAAATAAAAAACAAAAATAAAAAGGGGCCTTACACAGGCTGTGAAGTCAGTAAAAATTAATGTTGTCAGGAAACAAGAGAATCATGTTTTACGATGACTGCATTGCATTTCTTGTTGATTTTCCTGAGATAATAACACAGCACTCCCAAAAATCTGAATATTATTGGAATTTCATCTAGAGCAGACAACCTTTTATGTCTCTTACCCACGACAGGAAAAGGTTTAGGGCATAAATCATCATGTGGGAAATATTTTGCCCTCTTTTCTGTCATTTGGCTCGTCTTATGTTTTGTATTACTGTGATCAAGGATCAATACCTTATGTGGCTGCAAAAGTGAAAAGAATGACAAAGGAAATTTTTGCTAAGTTAATGCCACGCTCCACTTGGTAACTGAGTACAGGTTTACTGCCTCAGCCAAATGGACTGAAGCATCGTCAGCATCTGGTGATAATCTAGCCATAGCTGGGATTTGTTCTCATTCAAGAACAACAACGGAACTCATTCTGTATTGTATAACTTAGTCGCACAACACGAGCAAGCATGTACATGCAAACACACAATTTTGTTTAATGTCACATTGAGCCTCTGTGTCAGAGTCAAAGTGTCGACTGACACTGTTAGGTGCCAATTCACCAACTCTACAGCCTTGTTACCATGGGAACCAGAGATCCCTATCTGCGTCAGGGTCTGGAGTAGAATGGCTTATATTTCCATACTTAGTACAGAGTATTATGTATTGTGTTGCCACAAAACTTGAGAGGAAATCCAGAGAGGGAATATAGGAGAAGACGAATATCATGGATGAGTGGAGAAGAAGAGGAATTGTCCTCCTTTTTCCAAATGAGAGGGAGAGAATTAAGATAATAGGGGTGATCAGTGATACAGCCTCAAATCTTTGTTGAAGCTGTAACTTCTGACGATGGAAGAATAAAGAGGAAAGAAAATCTCTGCTGATTTTCTTTCTTCATATGACTCCTTTGAGCATGAACCTTATAATAGACAAAATAACCATTAAGACAAACCTCATTAAGTTGCAACCAAATTCTGAAGCGGACCCATGGGTGCAGGGTAAGTCTTGTAATGAAGTACTTAAGCCCAGAAAATAATGAATGAATCAAATGAAAATCAATTGTTTTAAATTCTGCAGCAGCAATGGATTGAATAGCATTCTGTCTATTTAAAGAAAGCTTTGATCACTTTATCACAAAAGGTATTTCATAGACCTTTTGGGGCATAAGTGAGTCACTCATATGCAGTTAATTTTTTGCTTGTGTCTTTCACTGCTTGTCTGAACATTGTTCCTAATTAATGACATTAAACAAGAGGTACTTAAGCTGCCTGATGTCTTGCCTTAATCAGCATGATATATTAAACACTGACAGTGATGCTAATAAGGTCAGAAATTAAGCTAATTAATGTTATAATTAGGAAACGTATCCATGCCAATATTTGTCTTAACACATGAGGTGTAATTATTTAATAACTCTGCAAAATCTAATGAGATTATCAACTTTATAAGGGAAATTTTGATAATAATAACAACATTAAGTGATCTTATTTCATTCGTTTTTTTTATTTAGCTATAGCTAGCCACCCACAATCCCCTTAACTTCCATGCATTATATGCAGCTACCTTCCCATACGAAGCCTCTCTGCCTATTCCTTTTTCGTGGGCAGAGTCCAACACCTCTGTTATTTCACTCTTTCTCTCTTCATCTTTCACAATCACTTCCAAATGTCAGCTATAGCAAAGTGTCATATTTGCCTTAGGTGGCTTGTTCACACAACTCAAACAGTATCCCCCCTGGTCTCAAGTCCAGTCTTTCCACTGTTAACTGTCCAAAAGTGCCAGGAAAGCACTTCGGTGTGTGAGGGCGCTTTTTCCTTTTTTTTGTCCTGTAAAGACAAGTTTCCCTGCAGCTTTACCAACGTAAAAAAATCTGCTGAAACTCTTTTCTTCTACTTTCACACACTGACAAGCATGCAACTTACAGCTGGTTAGGTTTAACAGTTTTTTTTACTTTTGTAAGTGTTAAACAAGGTCAGTGTAGTCCATAGTTATTGCAAGACCTAGACTGATCATTTACAGTATTTTTCAAAGCAAATACAAACAGGTCTTCGGAATTAACCTACAACCTGATGATCACGCTGTCTGTCACCTTTAATGCTTCTGAACTGCTCTCACGCTTATAAAAACAGGGTGTTGATGGATTTTACTTGACTCCAGCAAAACAGCATGCAAACAATGTCCACTTTCAAAATGTGCCCCAGAGTATGTGTACATTTATAATATAAACTCTAGTAACAATCAGATTAAATAAAGCACAACATCCTTCTAACAAGACTGCAAGATATATAACTGGTTTAGTTTACTAGTCAAAGAAGCTAGCTATGAGATTATATTACCTTCAGGCAAATAGGAGTATTTTTAAAACTGCATTGGGAACAAGTTATCGCTTGTGTTAAGAAAAGTATTATTTGAAGGCACATTAAATTGTGAAGACAGATATCTGTTGCAGTGGATTGCTGAAACAACTGTGTGCTAATGGTCCTTCACTACATAATACATATTCCTGTTAGTGCAATTTTATCTCCATTTAATGGTGTCATTAAAAAACATCTTGAAACACTGAATTGCAGTTTTTATGACACATCACAAGGGGGCAACGTCAAACTACAGCATGGAAAAATTAACAGGTTTCTCTTGGCGCTATTTTCAAATATTAAAGAGACAGGCATTTTTACACATTTTGCGAATCTTCCATGTACTCACCTATATTTTTGCAAGTATATCATTACGAATGAGAGTGATCCACTGTTGAAAACCCTCAGGGAGGTTGAGGGGATAATCGCCACTTTAATGCGTATGTGTTACTGATCATATTTATCTGATTCGGCCTCCCGCTGCATCAAAGCGCAGGCTGCTCTGTTAGCTCAGCTCTTTAGACGAGAGGCCTGTGGAGATTTCTCTTCAGACCGTTATAAATTGCCTTTTTAAACCCTGGGAGCACAGCAGCAGCAAAGCCAAAAAGCACACACAGATTCAAGTATAAATAGGACCGTAAACGAGCAATTGTAAACACACTACGCGCGTAAGAGGGTTAAGAGGAGAACTGTCTTTTAGTTTGTTCGGTTGAGGGTCAAAAACATGCACCTCACCTGACTCACTGCAACACTCATCAACAGCCAGTACTAACAAACAAATTCACACATTCAGGGTAAATGTCATGCCAATTACAAGAGCATGTCTGCGAAATCGCTGAAAGAGATGAGTGGTGATCACACCACAGACAAAATTCTCTGAACAAAGTAACTACTTTCTGCAAAAACAGTCAAATGAGCCTTTCCAGTCCAACTGAGTGTCCACTTAACCCTCCATGAAATGCAGAGGGCAAAACCCTGTCTGGTTTAAAGATCATCTGTCAGAGACACAAAGCAAACATGTGTCTGCATGTGTGTGTGTGTGTGTGTGTGTGTGTGTGTGTGTGTGTGTGTGTGTGTGTGTGTACATACATTGACTCTGTATAGAATAAGTCATCTTCCCTGCTGCAGAAATCGTCATTACATTGCCAGTTCTGCAGAGAGCTAAATTATCAGCTGAGTCATAATTCTATGGCCAAAATCTAATGTTGTATACTTCACACACTATATGTTTCCTTTCTCAGAATCTATAAACAGTTTACTAAAGCATGTCTGAAAGATTTCCACAAAATACTACACCTTATGGCACAGTGCTGGCACAGTCACTGCTGTTACTGTTAATGGAATATTTGCTTGTGTGGTTAAATTTAGATAAAATCAAGTGTCACACAGCAACTTTTGCAAGACTGCTATATTCTCTCCATATTCTACAAGGGTGAAAGCACTAGCTGCATGATTACCAAATATTCTGCAAAAAAACTGTAAATCAAATCAAGTTGTCTCTGTCTAATATTCAGTTCAAAACAAGTGAAAAAAATCTACCAGTGTAATAGGAATATTGCCTCCAATAGAAATCAAGTTATTCCAAGGACCAGAGTTTTGAAACAAGACAGAGTAAGGCAGGTTGTTTGTTTCATTTGAATGAAGAAAAATTTAACTTGATTTAAGAAAAATAGCTAAAATGCTTTTACTGTAATGGCAGACTTTCATTTCTTTCAGGAAAAAAATACTTTATGGACAGAGAGAAATTACTTTAAATGAAGGAGAATTTTACATCAAATACACAACACTCTATACACACACTCCCACACACAACCACCACCACAGAATGAGAATTTCCAGCAGAATAACTTTACCTTGAAATGACTGCTAACCACTTATCATTTGAAAAGGGCAGCTGGGTGGATTGTTACCCACATCATGAGACACTTCTCCTCCATCAAAGTTCTAGTGCGATCGAAGGGTGTTACTGATAGCATACAGGAGAAAGGCATATTGGGATATCTCTAGGATAATTAAAACACTCCCGTGGAGAGGAGATGCATGAAGGACCACTTGTGGCTGAGGCAGCAGGAGGGAATGTTTGTTCACAGTGTGTGCGATGACAGATTTACTGTCAGTGACAGAGAGGTTGGGTACGCTGACAGGGGACTGTCCATCCTTATGTCATACTGTGCACTTGCGCAACTCCCAATTGTCCTTTTGTGACCCAACATGTTCTTCTGCCAACCTGTGTCTCGATGAGCAACAACTGGATGGATAATGGCCATTTCATAAATGAGAGATGCCTTCATAAGAGATGCCTTATGAAGGACTGCTCTGACAGCCAGGCAAAGCTCCAGCAAAAGACAGCTGAATGAATTATAAGTCACTTCTGGGATTAATGTGTCTGCTTCCTTATCATTTTGCTTCGCCTTTATATTAACCGGAACGATTCCGCAGTGTAATATCTATTTAACCCCTTTCTTGTTGCCTGACGAAGCCTTCAGTCATCCCATAATAACTTAGCAACACTATCAAAACCGGCCCTCCAAGGAAAACATAGCTCATTCATCAGTTATAACCCTTTTCTATTTACCCACAGCGCTAAGCTTTAGACAGGTCAATATCTAGTTAAAGTAGATTAGAGCCATAACTAATTAATTTTACAAAAGAGTTGGTATGCTGATGAATTATCTGAAACATATCTTTAACATCTCTTTATTCATCAGTAATAATTATAATATATTTGGCACATTAACGACATGAGTATAAGTGAAAGACGATTTCTTTATTAGCCATAAAAGTACTCAAGGTTTATATAGCAGTAGCAGACATTTAATGACATACTTCAAAGGAATTAAAATTTACCTTTTAATTATTTTTCCCCATACTAATTGTTCCTAGCTCTACCCACTCAGAAATCATTTATCTCACAACAGAAACAAAAGAATGAAATCCAGCATTATGAACAGATGTTCTGTACATGTTCTGAATTAAACATTGTAGAGCATGTATGTTTAACTGGATGTACTGAATGTAGAAGTTCCAGCAAAAGGTTATTGTCTTTTCAATGGCATGATGGCTGACTGGACTTATACTAATGTGTGTAGCTACCTATGTGTTATTTCAAGGAAGTAAAGATCCTAAATTTAGAGCCACAGTTGCAATTTTAATATGAAAAAAGTATTATCTTGCAGCTGCAATGCTTTGGTATTGGAAACACGCTTTGGCTATCTGTCATCTGTGTAAGCTGCCAACTTGAAAACAGATAAAAATCCTACCCAAACCAGTTTCTGGCACTCAAAAAAGAATCTGATGCTAATCGAACATCATTACAGCAGTTCATATTGGCTGGCAGTGACACCTGTGAGAAGACACTGGCTTGGTACAGCAGAAAGTACAGGCTTGGCAGTCTTCCCCAGGCAACAAACAGTGAATGTTGCCTGGAGCACGTGGCATTGAAATCTAACAACAAGCTGTATCGTAGATAATGAAGCAAACAATACTTGATGGAGGAAAAAAATAATACAGTAGAGGATCAAGGAGAAGCATGAAAAAAGAAAATATGATTCCTTCTATATTACAGAATTCAAAAAGAATTAAACTGTGATATTGCAGTCATATCACAGCTCTGCTTAGGTACAAGAGGTGGCAGGTGAACTTGACTGTGTGGTAGAGTGTGTGTGTGTGTGTGTGTGTGTGTGTGTGTGTGTGTGTGTGTGTGTGTGTGTGTGTGTGTGTGTGTGTGTGTGTGTGTGTGTGTGTGTGTGTGTGTGTGTGTGTTCCTCATTCCCTGCTATCTTCCCATTATTGCAGCCTCCAAAATAAAAAAGCAACACTGTCTCTGTGTCCTTGATTTGTCCTTCAACTACTGTATTCATGTGTTTAAACTGTCATATAATGGCAAAGTGAGTATCAAATTACCTTAGGATACAGAATTTCTTTTCACAGCTTTTGCCTTCTGATCCATTCAGAAAGCTATGCATTACTCTATAATCAAGCTAAATACCTTATAAATGGTAAATGGACTGCACTCAGGGTTTTACACTACATTTCACATTCAGCCATTCAAATATATTCATACACTGATGTTACAGTATCAGGAGCAATTTAGGTTTCTGTATCTTGCTCAAGCACACTTCAACATGTAGTGGGAAGATCCAGGGATCAGACCGTTAACCATCTGATTGGTGGACAACCCACTCTACCTCATTAGCCATAGCAACCCTTGTACACTAAAAAGTGAAATCATTAACATTTTGCACTTTACTATTATGTATCATGCTTACCTCTTTTTGGTGGTACTTGATAGCAAGTTTTAGTCTTGCAAGGTCATTGTTGCCCTCCTCGTCCAATAAGTTGGTGTCATCTCTGTAGTTGAGGATCATCTCCAGCTCTCTGGAGCTTCTTGTTTGGTCCAGGAGGTCCTTGGCAAATTGTTTACACTGCTGAGACAGCTCCTCATACTCTGATTTGAACTCATTCTCCACCTTAAAAAGAGCAGGATACAGATAACACTTAACATAAAGAGAACTGCAAGAACCTGGCAGCTGAAATGTAAGTCAACATTGTAAGTTTGTTTAGAATGCGGTGTTTCTAAATCAAACTTCTGCCTTTAGGTGTTTTGTGTCATGAAGCTGTTTCAAGCTAGTTTACTGCCATTTAATAAATGCACCACCCCTAAGCCATTTATTTTTATATATTTTGAGGTTGTTTTATCTATACAAAACTTAAATGCAATAAAAGCATGTTAAAATTTGTGTAAAATATACAGCGGGTAAAATAAGTATTGAACGTCACCATTTTTCCCAGTAAATATATTTCTAAAAGGTGCCATTGTCATGAAATTTTCACCAGATGTCAGTAACAACCCATGCAATCCACACATGCAAAGAAACTAAAATAAATAATTTCAGAAATTAAAGTTATGTGTAATAAAATGGAATGACACAGGGAAAAAGCATTGAACACGCTTACTGAAATTGATTTAATACTTCGTACAAAAGCCTTTGTTGGTGATGACAGCTTCAGGATGCCTCCTGTATGGAGAAACTAGTCGCATGCATTGCTCAGGTGTGATTTTGGCCCATTCTTCCGCACAAACAGTCTTCAAATCTTGAAGTTTCCGTGGGCCTCTTCTATGAACTCTGATCTTTAGTTCTTTCCATAGATTTCCTATTGGATTCAAGTCAGGTGATTGGCTGGGCCATTCTAGCAACTTTATTTTCTTTCTCTGAAACCAATTGAGAGTTTCCTTGGCTGTGTGTTTGGGATCATTGTCTTGCTGAAATGTCCACCCTCGTTTCATCTTCATCATCCCGGTAGATGGCAGCAGATTTTTATCAAGAATGTCTCGGTACATTTTTCCATTCATCCTTCCTTCAATTATATGAAGTTTGCCAGTGCCGTATGCTGAAAAACAGCCCCACACCATGATGTTCCCTCCTCCAAACTTCACTGTTGGTATGGTGTTTTTGGGGTGATGTGCAGTGCCATTTGACCTCCAAACATGCTGTGTACTATGGCATCCATAGAGTAGAATTTTGGTCCATCTGACCAGACTATATTCTCCCAGTATTTCACAGGCTTCTCTAAATGTTGTGCAGCAAACTTTAAACACGCTTCAACATGTTTTTTCTTCAGCAATGGAGTCTTGCGCGGTGAGTGTGCATATAGGCCATGGCGGTTGAGTGCATCACTTTTTGTTTTCTTTGAAACAATTGTACCTGCTAATTCAGGGTCTTTCTGAAGCTCTCCACAAGTGGTCCTTGGCTCTTGGACAATTCTTCTGATAATTCTTTTCACTCTTCTGTCAGAAATCTTGCAAGGAGCACCTAGTCGTGGCCAGTTTATGGTGAAATGATGTTCTTTCCACTTCCTGGATTATGGCCCCAACAGTGCTCACTAGAACAAACTGGAACGTTTAGAAATCCTTCTGTAACCAATGCTATCAGTATGTTTTGCAACAAGAAGGTTGCGACAGTCTTGAGAGCGCTCTTTGGTTTTACCCATCAGGAGATGTTTCTTGTGTGACACCTTGGTGATGAGGGGCCTTTTTATAGGCCATCAGTTGGGACTGAACCAGCTGATATTAATTTGCACTGACAAGTGGCAGGATTGCTTTCTAATTACTGATAGATTTCAGCTGGTGTCTTGGCTTTCCATGCCTTTTTTGCACCTCCTTTTCGTCATATGTTCAATACTTTTTCCCTGTGTCATTTCACATTATTACACTTAACTTAATTTATGGACATCTACTGTTTCATTTCATTCCAGAAATATATTTACTGAGAGAAATGGTGACGTGTTCAATACTTATTTTACCCGCTGTATGTACACTGCATTTAATAGTAATAGTGTCTCTCTGAGTAAACTCAATGAAAGCATCTGCCATCCCTCATTTTTATTTTATTTTTAGCTTTACTCAACAATTTTAATGATTAACTTTATATTTAACTTTTATATTTCATCTGGAAATGCCATGAATTATAGCAGGCAAGGATACCAATTTTGTAATTATTTCAGTGAATTTTCAAAGCTGAACCTGGTGTATTTTTTATTATTTTTTATCAAATTAAATTTACCAAGATCAGTTTATATGAAAGCATGGCTAATTAATTGACATGCTATTGAATGTCACATGATGATATAATCAAAGGGCACATAGAGGTTGATTAAAGCGACAGTCAGATAATATTCCAGTTCCTTAAAATCAAATCCTATATTTCAGATCCACTAGCTAGCTCTCTCTCACCTTGCTAAGCTCCTGCAGCTCCCAGCTGAGCCTGAACGCAGTGAGGAAGGGGTCCTCGCTGGAGAGCGCAATTAGAGAGGGACTCGACAGGGCTTTGTAGATGTTGAGACGTGAGCGTGAGTGCCGCAGGCTGTCCACGTCTGAACTAGACACACACTCCACACAGTTACAGCGCACCTGCAACATCAAACAAAGCATGAATGCATTTTAATAAGGCTTCCCCCTGTTTAGTAATAGATCATGATTCTGTCTAGCAATGCAGGCACTGTATCTATCATGTCTACTACGTACTGCCATGCCTGGTTAGGTTATTTAGATGATAAAAGCCCAATCTTTGAGATTTTGACTTTATAATAATTATTATTATAATGATTTTCAATTAAAGTTTAAGAAATAAGCATTTTGTTTGTTTCAAAACCAATCATTATCTAAAAAAGCACATGCCTAAAAGCATTAATCATGCAAACAAACCTTTATCAGCATTAGAAAAAATGTATACTTTAATTGATTTAGTTGTTGTCTATTATATCGTATAACTAAGATCAGATAGTGTATGTTCTGTATTATCTGAATTTGTGTTATTGATTGACTCATATAATACGTCCATGACCCCAGTGGATAATGTCAAACTTCAATCATGCTGCTCACTAGACTTGTGTTTGTTTTCTGAACAGTCGTTGACATTTTGGAGATGTGGGGTTTCAAATAACAAGAAAATACTAATCAATTTACACAACAAATTAGGGGCGTTTGGTTTACCCACCTCATGTGGCTGTGGCATAGACACACCTTTCTGCACCAGAAGCTTGATAATTTCATAGTTGTTGGTGTGGGCAGCAAGGATGATGGGAGTGATGTCAGGGGTGAAGTCAGAGAACTGCTTGTCCAATAAGATAGGAGGAACCTTTCAGGGGAGAGGAGAGAATAAAAGCTTTAATCAGTCACACATACAGTGAATAAAGCTTTGGAATAAAGGCCTTGGCCTTATGTGAGCTATTGTCAATGTTTGGCCATTCAGGGTCCTTTTTCTTTCTGTCCGGTTTAACTGTCACTCTGACTGAAAGATCTGTTCACCTCAGAGCGCAATTCAAACGTCTTTAAAGTGAAGTTAAATGGAATAAGCAGGATAAAAAAAATGTTAGAACTTTTGGCAGCTGCAGTGATAACTGTTCAAGAAATGATGCCCTTGGTCACAAGTTGCAGAATAAATGCCCTGCATATCAAAACCGCTGTAAATTTCAGATTTCAGAGGGACTCATTATGCTCCGAAAGAAACTCATTCCACCTATCCCTCTTATCACCCACTCCAGCTAAGCCCTTTTGCTATTCCCATGTCATTCAGTGGGAAAACAGGGCTGCGCGCTGCGGAGGAGTAAGCTGGCCCTTTTCACTTCTTTTAACTGAAGGCCTATTATCTGATTCTGCTGTGAGGGAGAGGAGGAGGAGAGAAAGAAGATAGTCAGGGAATGGTTGGGGTATAAACATGCGATAGGTGAGGACCTATTTAGCAACTTGATGCAGACAGAAGACAAATCATGAATCATGAATCATGAATGCCTGTATGAGTTGGTGCCATAACAAATATCTTAGAATAAGTGAAAACCTTGACCTGTGAGATGGATATCATGCATGTTGGTGACAATTTCATGGTAATCCATCCCGGTTTGTTGGTGTCTGGTATGTTTTGGTGATGTCTATATCTTAAAAAGCTCAGTGTGTAAATCTAAGCTGAATCCAAAAATACCCTAAAAGGCATAGAGAATAGATGTGAATACACAAGTCGCTGTATCGTAGATGTTTCACTATTTCACTATTTCACTATTTCACTATTTCACACAAAGCAGTCTGAGTAGAAACTCACCAGTCAGCAGTACTCTCTGAGGAGCAAAATATGAAGAATTGTTATCCAGGGAATTGGCTCATTTTCTCAGAAATTTTTCATTACCCATATTGCACAGAAAAAGTCATTTTATCATGTGGATACTAATTAATAATGTAGTTTACTCACAGAGCAGTCACAATGCAGCAGCAACTCCAAAGAGTGGCACAGAGTTATGTCTGAGAGTCGTCATATTTCGCAGAGGAGGGTGATCTAATAAGCTATATACTCTGTTCTCCATGTGGGAGGAGGAGGGACATCAAATAATCTATATCAAAAAGCCTTGGCCTGTGCCCAAGCATAGAGCAGGATGAGTGCAGGCTGGTAGATGTGAAGTTATGATAATAGTGGAGAAAAGAAATGTTGCAGCCCACTTGTCTATGTAATGCACTCACGTTACTCATATCAGAATGCGGCATCCAACATCAGCATATTGAAAAAATGCAACATTAGCATTAGCCTGCTTTTGCTTTTGTTTTCACTGTGCTCCTTTTTGAGCTTCCCTACTGGTTTTCATCTGTCATCCTACAATATCACAAACATTGTTTAAATAAAGCTGTTGTGAAATGGGACGCTGAGCAGTTTGTTTTTGAATGACACTGCAGAAAATAAGCTCAAGTCTTTGTGGATCCGAGCAAGCATGATTATGCTCACATTATGCTCTGTGTCATGTGTAGGAAGAAGCGTAAGGGGAGCCTTATGTAACTATCTTTATGTGTATATGATGCATGTTGCACAGAAACACAAAAACAAAATCATCAAAAATGTGGACTATGAAAAGAAAAAACAATAAAATGAAGAAGCGCCTGAAGGCTTGCTTAATTGAGAAACACTGTGAGCTGCAGTGTTTGTGCTTCCGACAGATGCATATCTACACTCAGAGGATGATACATGAAGCTGTTTAAAAAGCTGATATTCTATACACTCCTCGGTAGAAAACAAATAAGCCACAACACTTGTGAGGTTATTACAAACACATCATTTAGACAGCCTGGAAAATAAAAAGACAAATACACACAATTCCAGCAAAGCATAAAATGAATCTCCTCATTAATAAATCTCAGAGAAGACACTGGCAACAGATAGGATGCTCTTTTCCCAGACAGCCTTTTAATATAATCAATGAGCTTCTCTTGGGCAAATTTCGTAGCGCTAGAGTGATCTATTTTCGCAACAAACTCATGTGATAGGAAGAGGCACTATCTTACGAAGACATTAAGGTAAAGAGGAAATGTGGAAGCTGATAGATGTCACAGCTGTGGGGTTCAGACTGCAAATGTCTAGCCTCTGTACTTCAGTCCCCTCCACATCCATTTCACAAAGAGACTTGAGCTATTTCTTTGTGCTCTCTTTTGGTCCCCAATATATTCTTCCTTTTGCTTTCATTTTTCCCCTTTTTCACAATTTCACTTTATTCTATCAAAGCCAAATGAACAGGACACGACAGGAACGGCAATAACATCCTCCGTATGGTTGATCGATTGCGCCAAAAACATCTGTTCTTATGGTGCATTACTGCTGATAGAGAGAAGAGAGGAAGAACGCATGTGCGTGCTCCAGTGTGTACAGTCCATGTGTGGCAGGAACATGATAAAGAAAACGCTCCTTGAGTGTAGAGCAATCAGTGCAAAGGGCCTCCAATCAGGGATTAATATGACTGTATTTGTTTTTGATTACAGTAATTAAATCTCTAAACAACAGTTCCCATCAACAAGAAGATTGCGTTCTTGAACTAGTCTTGCATAGCCAGACCTATCTCCACACTTTGTTTTAGCTGTGCTAGTGCTCAAGATGGGTCTGGCCATTATCATATAGGGTAAAAAAAAAAAAAAAGAAAAGCTCAATCACTATGCAGCAACAGTACCCTTGCAAAATAGTGTTGGGGGGGGGGACTTGTTTTGGTGGATCATTTGTGGGATGGCGAGCAATGGCATTAAAATGGCTAAATCCCTGCAAAATAAAAGCTAACAGCTGCAAGCTTGCTTACATTGTAGTATACTCATTAAATCTCTTTCTGAAGACCTGTTCCTTTTCCAAAAGACAGAAAAAGGCTAATGAAGACAGCTTTTTGAAGTGTCAGCTTTTGTTGTTGCCAACACTACTGGGTCAATTATTTTGGATGGTATGAAAAGCTCCGGGCAACTGCATACAGTTTATAAGCTACACAATGAGTATTTTACTGACACTTCACTCTACCATTCCTCCTGTGATATGGCATGAGGGCCACTGTGCCAATGGCTGCTGTGTATTTTGTTATTTAGAGACACGTTGGCCTCAGTGATCAATTCTCTAGGATTTTAAACAAAGCTGGGATGTTTTTTTCAAATTTAAATTCAAATACTTTACATACATTTTATGATAAATAATACATATGGTATAGGTTGAAAAAATAGAAATAAATTGATGCTAAAAGTACCAAAACACAGTTATACTTATATAAGTTATATAAGAGCGCCAGCACAGACCTCAACCTCATGAATAAAACGCTTAATTTCAAACTCCTTTCCCATCAGTCCCCTCCTCACCTGCATGCCGCCACTAGGCTTCTTGTGATTTAGCAGCAGCTCCACAGCTCCCACCACTTCCTTGCGGATTGCATGCAGCAGGGCATCGCCAACGTAGACGCTGAAGCTCAGCAAGAGCTCAATGATTTCCAGGTTCTCGTTCTCAATGGCAATCAGCAGAGCCGTGCGGCCGAGAGGGTCGATGCAGTTGATGTTGATCTTGAAATAGATCTCTGCCTCCTGACAAAATAAGGTTGTGATTGAAAGTCAGGTTGTTTCAGGAGCTGCTCAGGGCCTTGGTGTAAAAAAAATGATTAGAAGGGAAGATACTAATTCACAACAAACAGACATTGATTTTTGAAAGGAAATGTAAAGTCTTCACACCTTTTAGATCTAACAGAGCAACAAGTCAAAAAAACAGTATTTTGGTGTGAGGCTTTGTTTGCCGCACTGATGACCACAGTCTGGTAACCTACCTATAATAATAGTAATTAATGGGGAACTACATCAAGTTTACACTTCAAAGTGTGGTTGCAGGTCTTGAGGTGTAGGCTACTACTGCATGGAAAAATTGTATAAAACCTTTTGTGGCTCCAGAGGGCGCTGTGAGCTGTGCATTTAAGTGATGTCACTTGAGTCAGCGTCAGTGCATTTAAGTGATGTCACTTGAGTCAGCGTCAGTTGGGGTTGACTACAAGTTTGAAAATGAAAAATATCTTGAGGCGTGCTACCTCTGTAGCTGCTGCTTGGTTTTTATTTTTTATTTAATTATCCATCAGGAGTCCAGCAATGTTATAAGAGTGCAATTTTTTACTGGTGGAGTACTCTTATGTAGTAGCTTTGGTGGTCATATCTGGCATTAGTTGGCTATAGCAGTAACATTTTAGGCTAAAGGCATAATGGAGGTTTTAGATTGAGATTTGCTCTCTAGAAAACAGCTGTTATGTACCTTTTCTCAGCTGTTTTCTTTTTTCTTGCCTTATTGCATTGCTATGTGACAAGTGCTCTGTTCATTTTGTGCATCCAAGGTACTGTGGTAACAGCTGGCTTGTTGTGGCAATATTTTGGGTCTACTAAAGGTCTGACACTGTCAAGGTAAAAGGCCCCAGATGTTATTGGTAACATGTGGAGGATAATCATAGCTGCACACGTTACCCATAAATCTTTTCTAAATCAGTCCTATTAGATTAAGGTTTCAATATCCGTCCATTCATCCATAATGTTTTCTCAGTGGCAGTATTCATTCATCCATTTACCCATCAAATGATCCATTCTTCCATGCATTTATACATACACACACACCTCCAGAGCTTGTTTGACACTAGCATAGTCCCCCTTCTCCACAGCTCCGAGGTAGGCTTTCTCCAAAGGTGACAGCTCCGACTCGGCCCGCACAATTCTCAATGGGATGCGGTCCCGGTACGAGGAGCTGTCACTCCGCCGGTAGTATAGTTGTGACATCTCCCCGGGCTTCAGCTTACCAGCACCCTGCTAACACTGCTACAGCTGCTGCCAGACTGGGGGAGTTCACACTAGAAAGGGCAGGAACAAAGGTGTTATAGGAAGAAGACACTTGCTGTTGTTGGTTTGGATTTTCACAAGTAAGAAAAGATGAGAAGAGGAGATGGGGACAGAGGTGAGAAGATTATTCTGAGAGAGAGAGATGAAAAGAATACCTGCAAATGGAGTGAAACAAAGACTGGAGTATAAAGGAATTTCACAAATTTTCAAACTTGAAATAAATTGAATATAAGTCTACTAAAACCTATGTTTACTGCAGATAAATCCTTCAAACTGTAGTTGACACAACATTTATGTCACTCAAGATGCATTTTTTGCTGTGAGAGGTATCTTTTAGTGTCTTTGAAGCATTAAGTGCATTTCTTTTGATCTACAAGTACCTCACATTTTGCACAACTGCATAAGCACTGAAAAAAAATGTCAGCAGAGAAACATTTCAAGTCACTGCATTATTTTCTCTGCTGTCCTATCAGGTAAATCTAAACCAAACAAGAAAAACACAGGTTGGAAGTGGTTGCTCCTACTCAATCGGTTTCACCAAGATACGACACACAACATCAGGCTTGAAGTGATGCAGCTGAAATGGATGGCTAGATGTTTAATTCTTGAGTTACTAATAGCTTTAGTTAATGTCATTAGCCATGCTTGCTAATTGATCGACAACAGCTGACTCAGTGGTTGCTTGGTGACAGTAAAATGACACCTCCAGCACTTTTGGCTGTGCAGCTTCACAGAAACTAGATTTCGCAGAGACACAGTGACACTGTACAATGATTGCTTCCTAACAAAGCGACGGCCAAGATATCTAGGTTCTCTGGAATCTAAAACTGAAACTGAATCAAAGATGAGAAAAACAGTGTTCACAATTGCATAAAAAGTAGCATTACTAAACTGATCTGTTACAATTTCTATTTGGATGTAGATCTCCTCAGACTACGCAACTATAATAATTATAACCTCATTTTAAAATCAGTATCAGCGTTAAGAGTAAGACTATATCCACTAAAAAGATGTGCAAAAAAGTGCTATGAACACAAAGGATTAGCTGTTTGCCTTCAGAGGATTTCAGACTCCCAGCAGCCCAATTAGTTAAAAAGAACAAGCAATTTATTTTGTTAATGTGTGTCAAAACTATCCACATTGTAGTCTGTGTCCTAAACAAGCACATTTAAAAACATTTTGGGAAATACATTTATTAGCTTTCTTGAGAGAGTTTGGTGAGATGATGGAGGTCCCTCTCATGTCTGTACATCAAACAGCAGCCAGCTTAGCTGTGCACAAAGACTGTGAACAGGGGAAAACAACTAGCGTGGGTTTTTCCAAAGGTACGAAAGTCCACCATCTCTAAGGCTCGCTAATTAACACATTTGTACAAATATTGGAGGATATAGCTCAAATGGTAGAGAGGTCGTCTCCAGAGAGACTGCTGAAGTTTACATGAGCAAGACCCGAACCCATACTGCTCCTGATGAGCATGCCATCCGTGTATGTATGAATGGGTAGATTGTTTGAACATACTCGATATAACGTGTTAATTAGTGAGCATTATAGTTACTGGAGGCTAGATGTTTTCCCGTTTCTAGTCTTTGTGCTAAACTAAGCTTACCCCTGGCTCCTGGCAGTAGCTTCATATTCACTGTACAGAGCGGTATCACTCAATACATGACATAACATGATACATTTTCAAGTTGAAACGCTTTCATGAAGTTTGAACAGTAATTCTCTATGGCAGGTGGCAAGCAATCATATGATTATTCAGGTTTTCAACTAGCAACCCAATGTTCCCACAGCTTGATTTGCAACAGGAGCAAGAATATAAGATGGCTGAAATGCAAGTTAATAAAGTGGAGGAACACAATTCACTGTCGGCTGGTGTTCCTAAACAACATTTGTTCCACCTTATGTCACCTGTCATCTCCTCTTACTGCCAAGGTGCTGCTTTCCTGATGTAGAAATGTTCTTATTTCCCTCCATAAATAAAAATAACTTCAACAAGCAGCATTAAAAAGTAAAATCTATTCCATCCAACTGCTTCCTGCTTGAGAGCCCTTTTGGTAGCCAGTTTTCACACCTCATTTGAGATCCTGGGCATTAGTCTGATATTGCTATGGCTCTTTGTGGAATAATTTCATTTTGAAGCGAATATACCTCTGAAGTGGCCACATGGGGACCCTGCAGTCACCATTGCTGAATAACTATAATCATGAGAGAGTAAGAATCATGCAGAGAAAGCGCATGCACTGCAGCAGAAAAGAGTAAGTGCCAATACAGCAGCTGATTTTTGAACTGATACCAAAGTGGGTATTAACATGTCTTTAACAACACAAGCCCCCCCCCTCAGCAACAGTGTTTAACATTCAAACAATATTATAATTCAAATATATCTGAAGACATGTTTTCCACAATTAGTTATTGTCTCAATTCCCCTTTTACATATGATGGATAGATGTATGTATGAAGTATGGTTATATCAGGTGTAAGTTGAGAGTTGAGAGTTACTCTGTGCTTATAAAGCTGTTGTGTTATTCCAACCCATAGGCTAATTAGACATTTTTTCAATGAATAAAACATACTGGTTTGATTGTTAATTGTCAACTTAGGACAGAAATTGCCATAAAAAGGCAAGTAAGCTACCAGCCTGCTGATATCTAGTGTGCTATTATTAAAACACACACAAACACACACACACACACACACACACACAGACACACAGCCTTCTGTGCAGAGGGCTCTTTCTTTAGTAATCACAGTTGCCTGGAATCAATATTTAGAAATAGAAAATCTGAGCTGTTTTGTTACACAAAGAGTGCAGCACTCAAGTGCAGTGGCAGGGAATATGTTGAGCAAAATGTCTTCATGTATTCTGAAAGTTGTACTGATTTGACACTGCACACACTACATAGATGAGCTTACCAGCAGCCCATTTAGATAGGCCTGTCCTGTGTTTCGAATGACAGTGAAACAATCATAAAATTGTCAGCATCCACTAATTAACGACAACAGGTCAGTGTAAATTGCCAGAAGGGCGCCTGCATACACTCACAGGTGAGATTTTGACATTTTTATTTCTGTTTGTGCAGTGATAGGTTCCAGCGATAACGTGGAATAGCATGGATAAAAATAAAAATGGTTGTGAAATTAAGACAGGACCCTTCTTTGCTGGAGTCCTTCCTCAGTTACATGCTGAGGGTCCCTAAAGGCGCCCAGTTACATCGTTTATCTTTACAGCCCTATCTAGCGTGAAAAGCCTTTTATTGTCAAAACCATTTTTCAAGTACATTGGAGCAAATAACTAACCTGTGGGACGTTGTGCATTGGAACTTCACTTATGGAGATCAATTTTCTTCCTTTGGAAAATATCCCAAGAGCACATGAGGACTAATAAAACAGACACGTTAAGCTTCAAAAGATCACCCGCCTTAACTTCTTGAATTGAGCATCCCCCCATTTGTTGAAAAACAAACAAACTGCAGGGTGGATCTGCATGAAGAGCCTGCTTGTTAATGTCTTGGTGTCTTGTTATGCCAGTCCGTCTTTCTCTTGGTTTTTAGTCTAGTCTGCATTCTCCCCTCTCATATTTGGAGACTTGACAGTACTCCCACTGTACATCCAGATTTGGTCCGTTTTGATCACGACTTCCATTCGGTCTTATTTGGGGGGAAAAGCGCAGACCGGCGCACACCGCATTCAGCTCACCGCGCAACAAATCCTGGAGACGAAAATAAGCAACAACAACGAAGTTTCCTCGGTGGATCGGTGGACAGCAAAGCGTCCAGTCTCCCCCAGGGTGTATTTTCACCGATGTTTATGCCAACTCGACTTGTCCACCTGTTGGAGGTGATTGAGCAAAAAGCAGCGCCTCCAGAAATAAACGCAGAGCAACCAGATGCCTGGCAGGCGGTCTGCGGAGCGCTGCTGCAGATTGGTCGTGCGCACTTGGAGACGCATTGAACACAGTGGCACTGCATGAGGGGGAAAACATCATCTAAACAAGCAACTCAGCCTTACATTCAGCCTCCCTTCAAACAAATTAAAATCAAATCCATTCCCATTCAGCTTCACTTGTCTCAGGAATTACATCCAAGATAAACAAAACAAAAACAAAAACAAAAAACAGTTATAGTGCAGACTAGAGCGTCAAGAACGACCCGAGCTTCTTAATTTGTATTGAAAACCAATACAACATTTTTAAATTATTTTTTTAAATTAAAGGCGTTTAGAAATAGAATAAAACACAATTCTGCATGCAACTCATATATACATATTTAAGTGTAATATTTTACATTCACTTGATGTTCATCCCGTGGAAAACAACAACAGGGATTACAATAAAGACAAATATGGGATATTCATAAAATTGCTGAATGAATGTACATTTCTGTAAAATAACTCTAAGAACACTGAAACTGAAAATACAATACTTACTATACAGTAATAATCTAACGCTTCTACAGTAGATTGTTACAGGGGAACATTTAGAATCATCTCTCTTAGACAAAGGAAGATGTCAATATCAATTTATGTAGATGGCACCTCCCATCCATTCCGACTTAGTCATCTGGGCTGGACATACTGCACATGCTTGGTGGTGGTGGAGGTAAGGTATGTATCATGGGTCATTTCTTCAAACTCCTAACTTTCTCTCTCTCTCTCTCTCTCTCTGTGTGTGTGTGTGTGTGTGTGTGTGTGTGTGTTTGGCTGACTTTGTAGGCCTGTTGATGTTGTAAATTCTTCCTAATAGTGTGTAATGGTGTTGAATGTCCTCTGACATGTTTAAAGTCTCCAGGCCAGACTCATTCCTTGTGTCTGTCTGTGTGTGAGTTTATGTTGGCAGAACTTGCAGAAACTTCAGGTCCATGTCACAGTGAAATGTCACACGGGACACATTTTTGGATATGAGAACCGTTGATTACTCAGTGCTTGATTCTGTCAGGGTGGAGTTACTGGGGCATTTGCATGGATTTGACAGAAGATGGATTTGTGGGTTTGTATGACTTGTTCCAAGTTGTCCATCATTGTTCCAGAGAATAATTCTGAGCTACAGTGACTTTAGCATTACGTGGCTGTGTTGCCATCTTATGTAAAGTAAGTAATGCATATGTTATTTTTTGTATGATACATGCTGATAAAGAGTTTAAACACATACCAATTTAGTCATTATTGAAAAAAATTAAAACATTTCTCCTTCAGTCTTTGCACTTTTGGCTGCCTCTGAAGGCATTTCTTAATTAAAACTAGTTTATGGCTTCATGTCCCTGGTGCTGCTAATTTCTTTGATGTACTCTAGAGTCAAATTAAATGTCTGTACCCATGGGATAACAGGGTTCCCTGAAACTCGGCCTGAATCCCACATGGACACCTCTCTTGAGTACAGTAAGTCTCTGAATCAGCTTTATTGGCCAAGTATGTGTACACATACAATTAATTTGACTCCATTTTTGCATTGCTCTGAAATGTATCCATCTACATTTATTTATTAGTTTATACGTTTCAGGAAGACAGATATAGGCATACAACTAAAAATAAGGCCAACAAAGCTGTACACATATAGGAAAAATAATATATAACTATAATGTAACTTATGTACTAGTGAAAAAAATAGATGCATATATCAATATATGTAAAAAGCAACAATGAACAACAATATCAAGTGTTTCTGTAAACAATAATGCAATAGTACAAGGGTATAGAGTGCAAATAGTGCTGTGAAAAATACCTATTGCATATATAAAGCATTGCTTAGATTTCTGTCTAATAAGATGATGATATATAGGCTACATGTTTAAAAAACTGGGTATTTAAACTTATAAAGATATCATTTATCATTTCTAGGTACTATGAATAATTTATTGTAGGATTATTGCACACAGATTCTTTTCTCATACTGGATACCATATATATAATCATAACAACGAATACTCCCCTTTTGGGGTTAATTACTACATCAGGCAATCCAATCAAACTGATTTAGTACTCACAGACAAAGCAGCAATGCATTACTCTTGACAGGAAGGTGGGGAATTGAATTAGATTGAAATAAATGTGACATATTACTGACCATGTTGTAGCAGTGAATCAAAGACATGATAATCAATAGTCAATTAAGGTAAGCTACATCAATAACTCTCTGCTGGTTCTTCTCTATGCATATATTCAAACACAAGACAAAGTAGATTCAGGAGAATGTAGAGCACATATAAATAATCTCCTATACACTGAAGAGCAGAGTCGGTGTGGCTGACAGGTCAGAAATCACAAAATATTTTTGATTCTAAAAATAGTCCTGAAGCTAATTCTTCTCCCATAAAAGGGGATTGATTGGAACAGATATTTAAACAACATCTGAAGCCATGTGGAGGGGGAAAGCAACACAAATTCCACTTCCCTCACTTACACTGATTTATTCACTTTTTTAAAGCTGCCAAATGACAGCATAGACCATTTGTTGTATAAAGCGTTTCTTGCATCGGTTGATAAAACGAGGCGAAGCACAGCTCGACTTCTGCAGCAGGGGGATGTGGAGGCAGGGGGTTCCTTTTCTACTTTTACTCAACAGTTGCCTGATGACGGTGAACTGCCCTTATCAGAAATTCAGTGTTGTTCTACTTGTTAATAGAAATGTTACAGCATATTGCAGAGTGAGCATATAAAGAAGTGTTATTGCTGCACTTGTTGATAAGTCTCTACACACTATTCTGCTGCTGCAGCACATTTTGAGCTTTTGGGGGTGTTGCTTCAGTCCTCTCGGCGCTGCCTTGTGGCAAAGTAACTTCTCACACAAAAGGAAAAGAATATTTTTGCAGATGCCCATTTATGAACAACTGGAGAGCAGCCTCGTAGTTGAGGATTTCATGAGTTTTAACAGATGGTGCTGTTCTCATCAAGGTAAGAGGAGACTCCAGAGAATGCTCGGCAGGCTGTTTCTGCAGCTACAAAGCAAACAGGCACCCTCCCCGTCTGTGAAATGTAACATACCCACTATTCCAATATGAACATCCAGTTGGCAGTGACATCTCCCTTTTCAGCCTCCCCTCTGTCCCCTTTGTCTTCCCCCTTTTTCTCGTCCCTATCCCTCCTTCGCACTGTCTCACACAGCTGTAGGGTAAACCCACTTTTGTTGAATGCTGGACGGCTCTCTGGTACAGAGGTATGTTTGCCTGTTCCCTGAAATCTAAACTTGTGCTCCAACCCAGAGTTTCTCTTTTATCTCCATGGAAACGCAGCGCCGTCCTCATCCTGTCCCACGCTTCTGAGAATAATCAGTCACCCTTTCATGAAGTTATACCGTGCCATGTATAGAATCAGTTTTTTGAAAAGGCAGTGACACTGTCAACATCATGATTATATAAGTCGCGGTTCATAAGCCTTCTTTTCCTTTAGGTGCATCCGTGGGAGTTTAGCAATATTTTGTATCCGTGGTTCTCAGGGATCCCTGAGATTAGTGCGGTCATCTCAGCTGTTTAAATTCCCATTACTCTCATGCTCTCTGAGATGCTACTGGGTAATTAAAATTGATCTGTCTCTGTCCTCCCTGGAGATGCATTGAGGCTGAGATTGCCACCCTGGTTCCCTGATACACAGCACATATTTGTTACAGTAAGCAAAAAGAGGAAGAACATTACCTCAGCATTGCACAGTGAAGTGCAGTTTGTATTTCTGTATTTCATTTCCCATCGCTTCCTTTTTGAGAAAGACAGGAGTAACAAAACTCTTCATTGTTCACAGACCGGAAAATTTGATTTATACATATATGTTTTGCCAAATATCTTTGATAGGAAATGTAATAGCTGCTTTTTTTCTAATCTAGTAAGTGTGGCTTTAACAAAAGAGACAAGGCCCATGTCCCAGATCTGGTAATCTTCTGCTACAAAGTTTGAGGTTAGGCAACATAGTGGCTTTTGCTGAAACAGTGTGCTTGGAGTCACAGTTGACTTTTAAAATATTTTACCAAAACCCCTATTTTCCCTCACCTTCACCAAGTTGCCTAAACACAAACCAAATATATGAATAATGGTTCAGCTGCCAGAGGTGAGTAATGTACAGGAAACAAATGACATAAGTTGACATTTTGCAGGTCAATATAAACATTTTGTTGTTAAGTTGATAACAACCGTAATCTTGTCAGCAATACATAAGTATGTACGTGACTGGAGAGCAGCTAGTTTTTATGCCTCCCTCGTGGCCAAAAGGCATTATGTTTTCAGGTTGTCCGTCTGTCCATCCGACCCATTTTCATGACTGCAATTTCTCGGGAAAAGCTTGAGGAAAGTTTTTCAAATTTAGCACAATCGTCCACTTGGAGTCAAGTATGAAGTTAGGCCTGTCCCCTAATTGTTGAGTTAACTTTTAGTCGATGAGAAGAGTCTTAGTCAACGCAGTTTAGTCTGACATTCGCAGAAAAAGAAAAACAGCGTCAAACGGGAGCTGCACCTCGTCACCGGAACTAAATTATGGGATTGTTGCAACGACTGCTGCATTTGATAACTGTACGAACTGCTGCCACTAGTTAGTGGTCCTATCAGCTGACTATACCTGGACTGTGAGCTTGAAAAACTGGGGTGGTTTGTTTACACTTCTGGCATAAGAACACTGGACTGCTGGGTGGAGGAGGGTAAACCGGAATGAGCAGCACAGCCACAGTGGGGGTGAGCAGCCAACGGAGGGCAGCCTCCTAGTCAGCACGGCTGGGACCGAACACAGCCTCCGACAACATCTGAGATTTACGGCAGCTCCAACCAGCACCAGACACAGTGGGTTCAGACAGGGACAGGAGAACCATTAAAGGGAGAGGAAGAGGTGTGAGTTTGTAGTGAGGTTCGACTGTTGGCTTTATCTAATGACTGCTAGTCGACTAGGAAAATATTCAGTTGGGGGGAGCAATAGATGAACTGATTAGACTTTGGTGGTCAAAGGTCAAAGTTCATAGTCACTGTGAAAACAATTTTTTTTTACCATAAGAATTGAATTGGTCGGACAAAG